GTGTGTGGCCTGTGTGTGCACGTGTGGCGTGTGTGTGCTGTGCGTGTGTGGTGTGTGTGTGTGGCGTGTGTGTGGCGTGTGTGTGACATGCGTGTGGTGTGTGTATGGTGTGTGTGTGGTGTGTGTGCGTGTGTGTGGTGTGTGTGCAGTATGTGTGCGTGCGTGTGCTGTGTGTGCGTGTGTGGTGTGTGTGTGGTGTGTGCGCGTGTGTGTGTGGTGTGCGTGTGTGTGGTGTGCGTGTGTGGTGTGTGTGTGTGTGTTGTTTTTGTTGTTTGTTTTTGAGACGGAGTCCCGCTCTGTTGCCCAGGCTGGAATGCAATGGCGTGATCTCTGCTCACTGCAGCCTCCCGGGTTCAAGAGATTCTCCTGCCTCAGTCTCCCAAGTAGCTGGGACGACAGGCGCGCGCCACCACGCCCGGCTAATTTTGTGTGTGTGTATTTTTAGTAGAGACGGGGTTTGACCCTGTTAGCCAGGGTGGTCTTGATCTCCTGACCTCGAGATCCGCCAACCCCTGCCTCCCAAAGTGCTGGGATGACAGGCGTGAGCCACTGCCCCCGGCCATTTGTGTGTGTGTGTTTAATAGAGACAGTTTCACCAGGTTGGTCGGGCTGGTCTCGAAATCCTGACCTCAAGTGATCCGCCCACTTCGGCCTCCCGAAGGGCTGGGGTGACAGGAGTGAGCCACTGCCCCAGGCCCCCATTTCTGCCCCGTTTGAGCCCCATGTCCCACCGCACCTTATTCATGGGTTTGAGGAACTGTATCAGGCCCTATTATTCTTGAGGAGGGAGTAGAGAGTGAGCGGCGTGAAGCCAAGACGCAGAATCAGTTTGGAGGCTGGGTAAAAGCTCCAAAGAACATGCTTTTTACAGAGAAGGAGCTGAGTCACAGATAGAAGGTGGTAATAAAGCATATGGATTAAAATCCATGGAATTTGTAGCCATATAAACCTGAGTTAGTGTCAAATTCCTCACGTAATCTGCAAAACAGAAGTAAATATATGGTACCTACTTTATACAGTTGCTGTGATTACGTGAAAGAAAGCTTGTCAAGTCCTTAGTTTAACCCCATTCAGATGTGTTAAAACCAACTTATTCATTATCTATTGGATCAGTAATAAAAGTAACTGTAAATAATAATTTTAGATACTTTTAATTCAGAACCTAAAGCATTTAAAATAAAAATTAAATAAATATGAACCTTTATGATGATGGTGTTAATTTCCCAGGCTCACTAGGTAGCAGCACACACATTTATAATCCTTTTTGGATATGTAAAGATGTAGCATGTATTTGGTTTTTATGCAGGCTGGAATAATGAGGGCTAAATAAAAGTTATGCATCTGCTTTGGATAATGCATTTAAAGTTCATTATATAATATATTATCTAATGTTTTCATTATAGCTGCTTTGTTAGCTAGAGAGGACTGATGTTAGCTCCACTTGACATGAGGGAGTGCATACTCAAGAGAGGTGACAACCTGTGCCTGAAACCCGGTTAATGACAGGAAAGTCGCCAGACCCTCTGGCTCTCAGCACAGTCCTCTCGTTTGACAAGCAAAGGCTGCACAAGCAGCCTTCATAACCTCAACTTTTCTTTTGACTCTGTGGCCAGGATCTGCATGCTGAAATGATTTCTCTTTGAAGAAACAAAGATATTATCATCCATAAAACTAAAACAAAAAAAGCCCTTAGTTATGGGAGATATAAAAGGAAGGGAAAACATAAATAAAGAAAATGAGCTGCAATTTATAGCGCAAGTTAAGGAAAAAGCTCCCCTAAATTTATATCCTCCTGTTTCCACATAATGAGTCAATTAATCTTCTAATGCTGTATAAAAGTTAAAAACACTGCAGTAGCAGCTGGTTTTAATGTTAAAGCTAATTAGGAAAACACATTAAGTCAAGAGAAGTGCTGAAGTTACATTTAGCTCAAGAGGAAAGAAGTATGTGCATGTGTTTGTGTTGTGGACAAGCATAAAGAAAGAAGATAAATTAAAACTTGTCGTTTATACCGCGCAGTCTGATTTCCCCAGGGAAGGCAGCTGCGAGAACAGAGAAATGGGTCACTGGTGTAAGAAGGTGTTCCGACCAAGGGAGGCAAGAGAAAGTCCGGGGCTGTATTTCATGGAGCTACGAGACTGACACTTCCGACTGAATTTATGGATTTTTCTGCTCCAACGGACTAAACACACAAGCCATTTGGATGCCATTTCCCCCCAGTCTATGATTGTCAGAAAAATTTTTTTTTTTTTTTTTTTTTTTTTTTGAGACGGAGTTTCGCTCTTGTTACCCAGGCTGGAGTGCAATGGCGCGATCTCGGCTCACCGCAACCTCCGCCTCCTGGGTTCAGGCAATTCTCCTGCCTCAGCCTCCTGAGTCGCTGGGATTACAGGCACGCGCCACCATGCCCAGCTCATTTTTTGTATTTTTAGTAGAGATGGGGTTTCACCATGTTGACCAGGATGGTCTCGATCTCTTGACCTCGTGATCCACCCGCCTCGGCCTCCCACAGTGCTGGGATTACAGGCGTGAGCCACCGCGCCCGGCCCTGTCAGAAAAATTTCTTACTCACGGGATGATTTGCCACCTACCACTAAGTAGCACATTTCAATTTCATTTTTAATAACACCACAACGTCGTCTGGGAAAGAAAGTATTTTTTAAATGCATTTTCATTTAAAACAAATCTTAAAATGTATCTCTGATAGATCAAGCGCAGTGGAAGCTCCAATTTCATGTTTTTCTGTGGGCGGGGTGAGGACAAGGTTGGGATGGAGAACGGAGGTGTGCATGTTTTCAGGTAAAAGAGCAGAGTTTGCTCTTCGTGCTCCACAGCAGTGCTTCTCGGCTGCAGGGTTTGGGGGAATCCCTGCAGATGTTTATGCAGAATCCTGGGCTGGGCCCGCGCGCCTGCGTTTCTACCTCCCAGCTGAGGCTGCGGCTGGTCCTCCGCCCACTCGGATGTGAAAGCCTCCCCCAGACCGCTTGGCTCCAGATTTGCATTCAAGGACGGTCATTTTTCTCTCAATCTTTCTGGCTTTCCATGGCCTCAAATAATCTCCATAAAAACCCTTTCCTCTAGGACAGAAACGAATTTCATTGAGGAATCTAACCTGCCAGGAATTAGGGCAGCCTGGGACTGGTGTTGAACACACAGCAGGTGGCTGCGGAGGACAGTTTCACGCCATTCCCGGGTGCCTGGCGCCCCCTCGTGGGCGAAAGCCCCCGCCCCGCAGACTCGTCGGCGGAGGACGCCTGCCGCACGCTGCTGGGGGAAGCCACGAGGACCAAGGCGCAGCGTGTCTGGGGGGTAGTGGTAGGGTCTGTTACATAAACTTTGGGAAAATTTGGTTGGGGAACACAGTCTATTGAGAACGGTAGCTGGCTTAAACATGTTTGGGAGAACTGTTGTATGGATACAAGAGATAAGCAGTGAAGAAAGGTTAAAAAAAGATTTAAAAATAGTCTCAGAAGAAAAAAAGAGACACAATTCTAAACCTGCTTAATCTCAGGGCTTCTGAAATCTTAAATTATGATTCAATAAGTGTGAAAAATGCTCTGGGAAACAAAAAATTAAACTCACCAAGATTTAATCTGATGCTGATCACCTAATCAGTGACCCTCAAATTGTGATTCTCAGACCAGCAACATCATCTAGGAATTTGCTAGAAATGCAAATCGTTGGCCTCACCCAGATCTAGTGCATCAGAGACTCTGGGGGTAGAACCAAGTAAGCTGTGCCTTCAGCAACCCCCCCCCCCGCCAGGTGATTCTGATGCTCACCAAAATTTGAGTCACAAACGTGATGAAATCAAGGTCAAATTCTTAGAACTGGCTGGGTGAGGTGCCTCACGCCTGTAATGCCAGCACTCTTGGAGGCCGAGGTGGGCAGATCACCTGAAGTCAGGAGTTTGAGACCAGTCTGATCAACATGGTGCATCCCTGTCTCTACTAAAAACTGCAAAAATTAGCTTGGTGCCGTGGCACGTGCCTGTAATCCCAGCTATTCAGGGGCTGAGGCAGGAGAATTTCTTGAACCCAGGAGGTGGAGGTTGGAGTGAGCCAAGATCACACCCCTGCACTCCAGCCTGGGCGTCAGTGTGAGACTCCATCTCAAAAAGAAGGAAAAAAAAAAAAAAAGAATTGGAACCAAATGGATTTCAGGAAATTGAAAAACCAAACAACTCCCCTCCAAAAAGCCCCCAACCCTCAACATAAGAATATTTAACACACTTTTTTGTTTTGCCTGTTAACAAATTAGTTCTCTGCAGTGCACGCATGCCTATAGTGCTTTCCCTGGTCATAACCACATTATGAGAAGAGTATCCCCCCACCCTGCACACTTATGGGATTAGTTATTCATCAGAAGGTTGTATCTGTTCTACTGCCAGAGGATCTTGCTTCTCACTCTCTTCCATGCTTCCTTCATCTCCACATCGCTAGGACTCTCAAAAGTTGTCAGTTTAGGAATTGTGGAAACTGGAGGCTTTGTCAATGAAAGAAGAATCAGGATGGATTGAGCAGTAAGCTGGAGAGTCTAACCTGATGATTTCACTATCCCCTGTGTGTTATTGGAAAACTTGATACCTTCAGTGATGCAACTATGCGTACATGAAGCAATCTGAGGAAAAGAAAATCTTTTGTTCCAGTTATATACCTGTAATATGAACTTCTGTCTTCTTCACCTGCCATCGCAACTCAGTTCTACCACTTTCTGCTATCATGGCCTTGGGCAAATCTCTTAACCTCTCTGAGACCAAGTTTTCACATTGCAATATTATCATGATAGTGCCTATTTCATAGGATCACTGTGAGGATGGAATAAGATAGTGCATTAAAGGGTGCTCCAACACTGGATCAATCTTAATTGCTAGAAGGGATAAAAAATTTTTAAAAGACAGTTCAGCAGAATATGTTCATAGGAGCCATGGCATTGGTCATACTAGTTCCTACCCAAAAGCGAGGCATTCTAGCTCATAGGAATATTCAATAAGATTTTCTACATAACATGTATCCAACTTAAGGATTTTAGTCAGAATAAGTTGGTATATAGGCAACATAGAACCATTCACTATTTGTGGAACACAGACTATTTACCAGAGTGTGAAGAGTAGAAAAACGAGTTTTTGGTCAATTTAAAATGGATAACTCATCAATTGTTCTCATTAAAGAGAAGATAATTGTAAAAATCTTTTTTGGTTTTAAACTGATAGTTTGTACTTGCATTTTGGTCTTGTTTCATTTTTTAATTTTTATTTATTTATGTATTTTTTTATTGTACTTTAGGTTCTGGGGTACATATGGAGAACATGCAGGATTGTTGCATAGGTACACACATGGCAACGTGGTTTGCTGCCTCCATCCCCCACATCACTTACATCTAGCATTTCTCCCCATGTTATCCCTCCCCAACCTCCCCACACCCTACCCGCTGTCCCTCTGTTGCCCCTGGCAACAGACCCCAGTGTGTGATGCTCCCCTCCCTGTGTCCACGTGTTCTCATTGTTCAACACCCACTTATGAGTGAGAACATGGGGTGTTTGGTTTTCTGTTCTTGTGTCAGTTTGCTGAGAATGATGGTTTCTAGATTCATCCATGTCCCTACAAAGGACACAAAGTTATCATTTTTTATGGCTGCATAGTATTCCATGGTGTATATGTGCCACATTTTCCCTGTCCAGTCTATCATCGATGGGCATTTGGGTTGGTTCCAGGTCTTTGCTATTGTAAACTGTCCTGCAATGAACATTCGTGTGCATGTGTCCTTATAGTACAATTATTTATAATCCTTTGGGTATATACCCAGTAATGGGATTGCTGGATCAAATGGAATTTCTATTTCTAGGTCCTTGAGGAATCGCCATACTGTCTTCCACAATGGTTGAACTAATTTATATTCCCACCAACAGTGTAAAAGTGTTCCTATTTCTCCACATCCTCTCCAGCATCTGTTGTCTCCAGATTTTTTAATGATCGCCATTCTAACTGGTATGAGGTGGTATCTCAAGTGGTTTTGATTTGCATTTCTCTGATGACCAGTGATGATGAGCATTTTTTGATATGTTTGTTGGCCTCATATATGTCTTATTTTGAAAAGTGTCTGTTCATATCCTTCACCCACTTTTGGGTGCGTTTGTGTTTTTTTCTTGTAAATCTGTTTTAGTTCTTTTGACCTCCATTTTGACAGTACGGTGGGCTTTGACATGAGCTTTGAAGATAGAACTTACCTCCAAATCCAGGTCTCATTGCAAAATCGTTGTCCTCTATATGGAGAAGTTGCTCATATTTCTGAGGCCACACTTCGGTACTGTCATCTTTCTTCATTCTAGTTTCTTGTTTGCTGTTCCCCCAAAGGGAAAAAAAAACTTTTGAGATACATATGCTTCTGGATATTTTGATTTAGGTTAGCCATCTGTGCTCAACATAGCATGTTCTGAAATACATACATAAAAGCTCATTTTCTCAGTTCATATTAAGCCAAAGGGCTGTCAACATTTGTTCTTTATTATATAAGTGTGGAGCAAATAAGGTAAACCAAATTTTGGGGCACCTTAAGTCACAAACTGAGTTTGGATTTAATGCACAAACTAGTATTGTTTCTCAGAATATGGTTTTTAGACCTGAAAAATCCCAGTTACCTGAGTGGAGGTGATCAAAACTCAGATTCACAGACTCCTGCCCCAGATCAACTGTATCAGTCTCCTAGGAAGCAGGGCCTAGGAATCTGCACCTGAACAAGCTACCTAAGTGATCGTTGGGGTCACTGAAGCTGAACGATCTCTGCGCTAAGACAGTGAGAAAATAAAAAGACCGAAAGATTGTAAACAGATGAAGACCGTGTTTTACAAAGATAAAAGGAGCAGAAAATACAGGGTGCAGGCTGAGAGTGTACCAGGCAGAATTCCCACTGGGGGTTCTAAAGCCTGAGGGATGGCAATATTTAGACCTGATGCCAGGTCAAATTGTGAAGTGGGTGAAGTCTGGTTTTGTGTGCAGTTCTCTAGGGCAAAGGAAAGTGGGCAGTGGCCTCTTGGCACTAGGTGTCCTGATTGGGAATAAGGCCCTGTCTCTCCCTGCGTCGGTGAGCTTGGGCAAGTTGCTGGACTCCTGATTTGTTTTCTGCCCTGATGGCTCAGCTCCTCTTCCAGAAAAAGGTGACTGTGATCATCATCATCATCATCATCATCGGCAGCAGGAGCAATAACACAAGACCCTAAGTGCTCTACTAAGTGAGCCCTAGTCATTCTGAATAGCTGATATGCTTTTGTGTTAATACATGTCTTCTCCAGGAAACTGATGTGAATTTTAATATAAGACACATGGATAAACTTTCTTACACAATTAAACGACTTTGATGGGGAGAATTTCAGAACCTGGAGCAGCTGCTAGAAGAAATAAGTCCAGGTTTATGGGCATCTGAGATCGCTGAGTGTGGCCTTTCAATAAAGAACTTTCTGGTTGAAACCATCAGAGGTTTATAGAAGTATACTTTATCATTGATAGAAATGTGGAAGTTGGGAAATCTGTTTTGGTAGAAGGCAATGAGTTTTATTTTAAACATGTTAAGCCATTATAGCCTATGAATAATTGAACACATACTACTATTTTTTCCACGGATCTGGAATTAACTAGAAAAGTTCTTCCAAGGAGCTAGAAGGAACTATTTATTTAAAAAAAAATAGCAACTAACTTTTATTAAATGCCTACTATGTCCAAGGCACCAAGCCAAAATAAATATTATCTTCCTTGGCATACATCCTAATTATGCTCTATTTGGGCCCCACGCCCAGAATTTCTGATTCAATAGGTTTGGGGTATGAAAATTTGCATGTATAATAATTTCTCAAGAGAGTCACTGGCCTAGAAAACAATAGACATTTAATAAAAGCTAGCTACTTGTTACTATTTTAAGAAAAATGGAAATGTAACTAAGAGTGAAAACTCATGAAAATTTGTAAAGCCCTTTGGTAATAATCTTTTAATACAGTTAAATGGCATGTCACTGATGTGTCTGCTCAGAAGCACTCCATGAGATTGGAAAGGACAAATCTTAATTAAGAATCCCAAGAAGGTTAAAGACAGAGCCGGCTACGAAATGCTCTCTTGGCAGCGTGCAAAAGCACATGCACCTTGAGGGCCCTTCAGGTGCACAATGAGATGTTCCATATTTATCTGCTTTTGCCTTTATTTGGGTATTTTTTCGTATCTTCTATTTCTCAAAAAGCATCTGTTGCTTAAACACCCTTTTAAAGAATTTTGAAAATCTGTGCATTCCCCTCACACATATTTAAATTGGCATTTATGTTTCTTCATCATAAATTTTGAAATTACTCAAATATTGATGATTTCAAATAAAACATATTATTCTTTTAAGTGTATCCAATGAATCTAAATATACACATTACGTACTTAAATATACCTGAACAAGTTCTTTAAAAATCAGAGATTTTTATCATTTTTTTAAAAAAAATACTTGTATCTCCATTTTATTTACTTCATAGAATTTTATCACTCCATCATGCATTGTTGTAAGAAAAACATATTAACATTGAAATTAACTTTTTAATTTTCTATGACAATTACAAATGGAATAAAACATAATTTGTATAAACATTGATACTAAATTTAAGAATGAAATTTTATTAGAAGTGTATTTATAAATGAAGTGATGATTCATTTTCCCCAATTATTCTGTGTATCAGCAAATGGATATTAGTCATTGCTGGAATAAAACTGGGAATTCTATTCTTTTTTAAAAATCTTTATAGATAAAAACTTTGAGAAAGTTTGTTCATATATGGGGAAGTACATGGAATTTGAAGAAATTTTGTTTCAGTATTCTTTTAACAATGTAACTTAATTATTTAAACGCCTTACTTATTTTTCAAAACTCACACTGTAGAATTTATGTTGAACAATTATTTTAATGATTTATAACCTGACAAATTAATTAGGTTCTTCCTTCAATTTTATTAAAAGCAAATAATAAGAGAATTGCCATTTAGGAAAAGACGTTTTGTGTAGCAGCATCCACTATCTCAACACGTTTGTAATGATCTCTTTGAATCCAGGAACTTTTTTTTTTTCCAGATAGAGTCTTGCTCTGTCACCCAGGCTGGAGCGCAGTGGTGTGATAGGCTCACGGCAACCTCTGCCTCCCTGGTTAGAGCAATTCTCCTGCCTTAGCCTTCCAAGTAGCTGGGATTACACCTGCCACCTTGCCTAGCTATTTATTTTTTATTTTTTAATTTTTAATAGAGATTGGGTTTGATCATGTTGGTCAGGCTTGTCTCAAACCCTGACCTCGTGATCCACCTGCCTTAGCCTCCCACAATGCTGGGATTACAGGCATGAGCCACCGCGCCTGGTCTGGACCCAGCAACTTACACACTGGAAATACTTGTAGGATTCAGAAGGAGGGAGAGGGATGCCTGCATGCTGCCAGGTGGGACAGAGCAATCATTACAAGGTGGCGATAGAGAAGACTGCAGGTGCTGAATAGATCAACTTTAAGAAAGAGGTCAGAAGGAATTAAAGATCCAAAAACTGTTTGTTTTAAAACTACTCATGTCTACATGCCCCTCAAATACCTCACATCTACCCTTAGAGGTATAATACATCATACCCCAGGAGGATAGGCACCCTGGTTTGAAGGCCTCTGACGCATACGCATAGAAAGGTTAATAAAATGAAGGATGAAATAAAACCAAGAAGACAGAAGGAAATATGCTTAATAAAGGAGCACTATATAATGGGGCATCAGATTTAGCTCGAATGTTCTCATCTTTTCTACACATGTATCATTTTAAACTAGTTTGCGTCTTCTACCCTCTCCCCCAATCTAGAATAAATGATAGAATGTTTAGCAGCTGCTGAGAAGGAGCTTTTGGATTTCTTCTGTCCGAGGAGAGGATGTTCCAAGGAGTCTGAGTCCTGATGGGATCAAGCAAAGAAATCTCAGTTTACGGCAGAGGCTCTCCTCAGCATTCTTCATCTTTGTCCTTTCCTACAAAGCCTTATGAACACTGAGAAACAGTAGGGCCGTAATCTTGGTAATAGGTGTGAGTTTTCTCATTGAATTAGAGCCTTTTCCTTCCTGGATCACACAAAGAAAACGTATTTCTATGCTCCGTCTTCTCAGTGGCAGAAACTCTACTACAATTGTGTGACGATGGAAGTAGAGGTCTGGGAGGAAGGAAAGGCCGCATTTTGGGTGGTCTCAGGGGGACTAAGAGGGTCTTTGAGGAGGACATAATAGCCAAAGAATTAAAAACTAGAACTGGTTGAGGAAAAGAAGATACACCTAACTCCTTTGGCTGCACTGGAGTTTTATAAGTGGAATGACAAAAAATCACCTGACTTCAGTCACAAACACTCGGTTGACTGCCTTATAAAACGGCTTTCCCTCGAGCCTGGAGGCCTACATATTGGATGAATTAACTAGAATCGGAACTTGAAAAGAACTAGGTCTGACATGAAGAGAGTATTTATCCAAGGGAGGACACAATTAACAAGCATATTAAAAAATATCTAATGGAGGTGGTCAAGAGTGAGATACCAATTGAAGCCATAACTGTCATTTTGTATCTATTAAATTAGCAAAAGACAAAAAATAATGTTATTGCCCGTGCTGTGAAGGACATGATGAGGCCAGGCGCAGTGGCTCACACCTGTAATCCCAGCACCTTGGGAGGCCAAGGTGGGTGGATCACTTGAGGTCAGGAGTTTGAGAGCAGCTTGGCCAACATGGCAAAACCCCATCAATACTAAAAATAGAAAATTAGCCAGGTGTGGTGGCGGGCACCTGTAATCTCAGCTTCTCAGGAGGCTGAGGCAGGAGAATCACTTGAACATGGGAGGCGGAGGTTGCAGTGAGCTGAGATGGCACCACTGCACTCCAGCCTGGGCAACAAAGTGAGACTCCACCTCAAAAAAAAAAAAAAGGAATATGATGAAATGTGAATATTTCTAGTTTGCAGGTGGGAGTTTAAATATTGGTAAACTCTGCTAGAAATTCATCTCAAGAACTATAAGGATATTTCGTATGCTTTGACTCAATTATTCAATGCCACAAAAATTATAATTTTCTTGGTAAAGGAAAAAATGTGAAAAATTATAATTTTCTTGGTAAAGGAAAATGTGTGAAAACATTTATTGGTGTTACTTATAATAATGCAAACTTGAAAATAAATGTTCAAAAACAAAGGAGGTAATTCTTGTTCTTTAATTCAAATTAATAATATGAAACGATTAAAAATACCATTACGGTGTCTACAAAGCCATGTTAGAAATGTAAGTAAAGAAAATACAAAATGGCCGCTATGCTATGATTGTAAACATGAAAAAAATCACGTAATTTCATAAATAAGGATTAGACATGAACTTGGAAAAACGAAAGCGTAATTGAGATTCTAGGTATTTTTTCCACATAAAAATCCATGATTACTATTGTTATTTGTATCATAAATTACCTAGACCAAATTGGACTTGCCATTTAGAATTCTTTCCAAATAGGAATCTGGTCAAAGCTCTCCACCTTATCATTCCATTCTCCTTGTCACTCTAGAAGCATGCCCTCTAGATAACATGGACGTTTTTCTCTGCTAACCTTTATTGTGGACCAGTGCACGCTGAGGCTCAGCGAACTGTTCCAAATAATGTAGGCAAAATTTAAAAATGTTTTGTAGACTTACTATTTTTCTTTAGAAAAATATAAAATGAAGCAAAAATGTTCTATTAGTCTACCTACATAGATGCAAATCCAAGGAATAAGGTGAAGTAGTGAGAAAATCATTTGGTCCAATTTTTCATCACGAAGAAAATCTTTATAATTCTTGATCCAGTGTTTGTTTCCATGCTCCAGATGTTTTTAAAATGTCTTAGAGAAAACGTGGTACATTAGATGTAGTGAATCTTATGGCTTTGATTGAACGCCTAACTCCTGAACTCTGGAAATGCATACCTGACTTTATCAATAGCCTGTCTCTTGTAAAGGGAAAATATCTAGGCAGATGAACATTTCTATGGGAAAGCCAGCCAGAGAGAATGCGTCAAGTGAAACATGACAGTTCCTACATCTCACTTGGGTCTCTGTCAGATCACAAGCTCGGTGATGAGGCCTCAGTTTCCTCATCTGTGAAATGAGGAAATTGGACCAAATTAGCAGCTGGTCTGCCAACATGTTTTTTTTTTAAATAGTCCACAAGGTATACTAACTTGGACAATTTCAGATAAAAGCCTGGATTTCTTGCTTCTTTTGAAAAAATCAGAAAATCTGGCCACACAAGGCTCAAGTTTCTTATGAGAAGAAAAGGCTGTGGGCACAGTGGCTCGTGCCTATAATCCCAGCACTTTGGAAGGCCAAGGCTGGAGGATCATTTGAGGCCAGGAGTTTGAGTCCAGCCTGGGTAACATAGAGAGACCCAATCTCTCCAAAAAAAAAAAAAATTAGCCGGGTGTGGTGGCACACGGCTGTTCCAGCTCCTCAGGAGGCTGAGGTGGGAGGACCACTTGAGCACAGGCGTTGGAGATTACAGTGAACTATGATTGCGCCACTGCACTCCAGCCGGGGCAACAGAACAAGACCTCGTTTCAGAAAAAAAGTAAAAATCAAAAAACAAACAAAAACCAGAGAAGGCTGAACCTGACCAGCTGTTTTCCTTGAGAGAATCATATACCTTGTAGTTTTTGTCTCTGCCACTCTCTTCTGTCCCTCTTCAGGAAAAAAGGCCCCTGTTTATAGTGTTTTATTTCCATGGTGTAAATACTCCCACCATGGCTGATTTCAAGCTAACAACGTGCATGGCAGAGATGTGTCTGGCACACAGCATAGTACAGTATAGTATAGTATAGTATAGTATAGTATAGTATAGTATAGTATAGTACAGTATAGTACAGTACAGTATAGTATAGTATAGTACAGTATAGTATAGTGCAGTACAGTACAGTACAGTACAGTATAGTATAGTATAGTACAGTATAGTATAGTATAAATGGCATAGTATGGTGTATTGTAGTATTTCCACCATGCAGATACAGTAGCCCTAACTAACCTCAAGAACAACAGATGATAGTAAAATGTAGAGAAATCATTAGGAAGTGGTGAGTTTTAAGTATTTGCTGCCTTTATTTTAGAAATTATTTAATTTAATTGCAGACTTATATAATTTAATTTTTAACAATGTGTGCTTTTAACAGCCAGCTGATAAACTTCCTGATTGGTGCTTGCAGGCCAGTTTGAACAGACTCCAGCACTCTGCTGATTATTTTCAAGGCCAGAGTCAATGTGTTGCTCCTATAGTATTTTTAGCTCCCAACTCAGCACTTGCATGTAAATATCACTCAATATAATTGTTGACAGAATGAATAAATATTCAATGATTCTATTTGCTTACTTCTCTTTGCATCATCTGGGAGCAAAATTTCTTCTCCAGGCAAAAGGGGAACATTTTTCACCTGCCATAACCTACTTTATTCACACCCCTCTCTACTTTGTTTTTAGGAAACAAAAGTTATCTTTGAATAAATATATTTTTTAAAGTCTTTAGATTTTGAAAGAAGGGAAACTCTGGATTAAAAAGTGAGGTTATATTCTGAACGAAAACAACTAAAAGCAAAACATTTAAGAGCCTTATTGTATGAAGACCGGCCCAAAATAATGGATATATAAATGCCCCTTATAATTTTCAAAGATCATGTCTCCTTTCATGTTTACTCTATTAGTTGTCTTGCATTATAGAAGAGTGGATTATTAATTCATTCATTCATTACTTAATTATTGGCTGATAATCAGGTTGGGTGTTGGGCAAAGAACCTCACAGTATCTATTCACAAGGTAAGGTAGGAAGACTCCTGGCCCCTAACTCTAAAAATGACTGCATACAGTAATTACTGTATTTTGGTCAAATGCCCTAAAATCTGCATGATTGGGTGGTTGAGTGACAGCTCAGAAATTGGCTGGCTGTATTACTCTGCTCACTCAGGGAAAATGCCTGGGTTTCATTCTAAGTGGCTACTTCTGGACCAGTGTGATGGTTTATGCAATCTCTAGTGCCCAAGAGGGTTTTTCTTTTATGAACAAAAGAAGCAGGTATAAATTTTAATGAATCCCATTCTGGCTTGTGACTCAAAGAAGCCTTCATTTAGGATATAGAGAAGTGACAACAAATACGATTGGCCCCGCATGGCCGAAATCCTGGTGTTTCCTATGAGCGAAGTCTGCTTTGAGTAGGCTCTAAAATTCTTCTTTTCCTTTATATAGGATCTAAAAATGAGGCATTTAACATCAGAAAAAAATTTCTACCTCACCTCAAAGAACCAATGTTCTTCTCTTGTTCTTTCAATGTCACCTAAAAAATACACATGGTAGATTTTTTCTGTAGCAACTCTGCTGCTGATGGTGGGCTGCTGTGATGAATTAGCTACTGTCATCATCTCTCTTCTGCTCATCTAGACATCCACCAGACTGTACAAGTCTACTCTTTGGATGACAGATAATATTTTAAGCTGTGTCCATTGATTTTTAAAATTAGATAAAATATACTATAAAATGTAATAAGCTATCTGAAAAAAAATATAGAGTCTGGTGGTATCGTCTTACAGTTCCCAAATACTTCCTTAGCTAATCGCTATGAAGAAGACTGGGAAAGTTGTTACATGGAACAAAACTTCGTATCATCTCAGGTATCGGCCTGGGAGCAGAAGCATGGAAGGCAAGTGTGAGAGGTGGTCCCTGACTTTTAATCACAGAGCAGGAATCAGGAATCTAGTAACACACCGCTTTTGGTTTTGGTCATTACACTGGAGACTTCAGAAGGTATTTATTAAAATGTTGTGTTCTCTTTCCTGATCTTACGGTGAATGCATAATACGTATTCAGGATGTGAGGGAAATGTAGCTAAAACATCTGTCACCCCATTGGCTGCCAGGGTGGACCAGACGAGACTCGCATCTTCGTTCCTCAATTTCTCCTTTTGGGTCTTTCTGGAAACCTGGTGCTTGTTGAAAAGGGAAGACTTTCTCAAAGACATTCTTTGATCATCAAAAGTATATGGGTATTAGAGTGACAAATCATTCAAGTATACCTGGGGCTAAAGGGATTCCTGGCATTTTTAGTGCTAAAAGCTAGGCAAATTGGTGTATAAACAGGTCACTGTCACAGATAGCTATCTCCCTTACTGGCACATCCAAACATGCTCCTGACTATTGATGGGAAGATAATAATCATGATGTGTTGATATTCAGCATATGTCAAACATATGAAAATGATTCTTGAAAGACAAATGACCTTACTGCCTTTTGATACTATTTCACCAGTCCATGAAACTATGTATCCTACAAGTACTTGACATTCAAAGAAGATGGTGCTTAGACTAATTTCTACTCAAAATAAATTTGAAGAAACATTAAACAAGTAATTAATGTATTCATAATAAATGTATTACCAATTGAAGAAATACTTTCCCTGAAAGAGGATCCTTACATGAACCCTTTGTTTTCTCCATCAATATGCATAAATAAATTTACAAATGTCAGCAAATTCCAAGATCTTGCTCTTTCAGATGTCAAACAGAGGTAAATGATGACGATGCATGAATGCTATCTCTAGAGACAGACATGGTCACAAACATGTGCTACCATTCATTAAAGATACGTTTCTAGGTTCCCTGTAGGCCTGAGGCAGCTGGTGAGAGAAACTGGGCAGTAACTCCATGGACTGCACTATGATCATCTTACCAGGTTTGTTTCATTGAAGAGGAGCACCGCTGCTGTGTCATCTTGATGTTAGAAGCAGCACAAGAATTTGGTATCAATGTGATCCAGATATAGGCGAAAAAGATCAACTGGAAGACCAGGACCATCTCTTCGAAAAAACCAAAAAGGATGCCGGTGGGTGCAACTAACACTGCGATCACGATGTCTTCTGTGGGTGTCTTTTGAAACATAAACAGCATGCCAGGGAAAACGGATTAGGGGAAAAAGACGTTGTCTTCAATGCTGTGATTTGTCTTAGTAGATTAAATTGAACCACATCACTTACATGCAAATATCTATCTGAATCTTCAGCAATTTGCGGAAAACAAAGCAGAACTTTAAAATTTTCAGTTTACATCCTTCAGTCCCTTTTCCCAGGATGGCTTTTAGTGTGATGCTCAATCCATACTCCGTAAGCCCTCAGCTGCAGTCCTCTGCAAACAAAGAAGTGAGGTTGGGCACTAATCCTCTTAATCCAATGCAATATCATTTAAATGTTCTTAGTGACTCAGCAAAATAATATGCTTATTGGGACAAAAGATGATTAACTTAATCTTAATTACACATTTGAAGATTCCTTTATCCTATGGTTCCTTTTAATCCAGAAAGGAATCTTTTCCTCCCCAAACGCATACAGACTGCCTTAGCACAGACACAAAATAAAATTATCCTTTTTTTTTTTTTTTTTTTTTGAGACGGAGTTTCGCTCTTGTTACCCAGGCTGGAGTGCAATGGCGCGATCTCGGCTCACCGCAACCTCCGCCTCCTGGGTTCAGGCAATTCTCCTGCCTCAGCCTCCTGAGTAGCTGGGATTACAGGCACGCACCACCATGCCCAGCTAATTTTTTGTATTTTTAGTAGAGACGGGGTTTCACCATGTTGACCAGGATGGTCTCGATCTCTTGACCTCGTGATCCACCCGCCTCGGCCTCCCACAGTGCTGGGATTACAGGCTTGAGCCACCGTGCCCGGCCTAAAATTATCCTTTTTTAAGGTAAATAATCATATTTTAAGATGATGGTATGTTTAATTGATAACAAAAGTTGTTTAATTTAAGGTTTATTTAATAGCAAGCAACCCCATTAATAAAAATAACCTTAATCCTGGTTGGCGTGCAAAGCGTACAATGTCATTGTTAAATTGTGGCCACACACTCTCGTCAAAGTGCTTTGCATATATAGAGGAAATATTTAAGAAAATATTTCTACTTCACATATGCAAATCACCAACAAATGGTTGTGTTATTGAAATTAATCTCCTTTAACTGGAATACCGCAAGGTAAGCCACATAGCAACAGCTGACCTTTTTACTAGGACTTAGGAAGAAAACCATTTTCTTCCCAGAAACACAGTGTTGTGAGAGAAGTTCTTAAATTTCCACAAATCAGTGTGTGTCCTTGACACCCTGCACGCAGTGTTACTGCTCTATCATATTTATTTATTTCGGCGTAAGTTATGTCTTTGTTTAGCCCGTGTATTAAAACCTCCTCCTCTATTTCTTCAGCATGTCTTTCCTCTTTAAAATATACTTTAATGTAAACTATTACACATATATAGAATGATGTAATAAATCCTTGCTTCTTTTCTTAGCCTTGATTTAGTGTTTATAATTATGTGCAGTTACACTATTATTGTATATGTATGCATCTATAAATAATGTACAAACTTTTGCATGTTTTAAAACTTTATGTAAATGCTGTCATACTCTACTTTTACTACTGAAAGCTACTTTTTCTTTCAACAATACTCTCAGGGATTTATTGTGTTGATGAATAGATTTCTAGTTAATCCATTTTAACTGCTATGTGGTATTTCAGTATGGATACGTAACGTTGTATTTATTCACGTTTTTGTTGATGGACATTATTTCTTATTTTTCTATGATAAACAATCCTGCAATAGTTTTTTAATAAATATTTTATTAATATTTTCTTGTACACATGCGTAAGAGTTTCTTTAGGTAAATACCTAGAATTAAAACGACTAGGCTGAACAACTTTCACACCTTCCAACTTACTGTGCACAATCATATTGCTCATCAAAGTGCTTGTACCAATTTACTTCCCACTAGCAGTGAATGAGAGTTCTTATTTCTTAAAATATTTTTTAACATTGGTATTAGCAGGCTCGTAGATGTTACTTAATCCATTGGGTATTGTTGTAATTTTAATTTCCGTAATGTTTAGAAATGCTGAAGCATTTTCTTCAGTTATTTCTGAGCCCGTAAGCCTGCTTTGAAGAGCCAATGGAAGAAGTGTCAGAAAAGTCGCTCAACTTGAGCTACTGTCAGGTTGGTTGTTGGGAAACTGCACTGTGGTCCAAGTTTGTTTCAGTACTTTCCACCTCAGTGCTCTTATGAGATCCAGGGCACCAACGCCTTGACCCACTCTCTATTACCTGGACCCCTCTTCCCTTAGTAAGCAATAGCTACACTAAGATTTCCCGAGGTACTTCTTGGCTACACGGAAGATGATTTGTGAAAAACTGTTCTGTGCTAAATGAGTTCGGGAAGCATTATACATTTTATTACTCTGTTAGGGGTCTCGCCCTTACCCCCGGCCTTGGCGCTGGTTGTCAACCTTACCTGACACACTGTTCATCTGGATGCCTATATGTCTAACAACTTAACAAATTTCAATGTTTGCTCAAATGTCATTTATTGAATGAAGCATACGGTGACCACTCTTTTATAAAATGCCATATTCTTTCTTTTCTCTGCCAACCTGTGTTACCAACCTACCTTTCATCCTGTTTAGCATGTGGTATGTAATTTAGGTTATGTTTATTGTTCATAATCTGTCTAATCCTGCTAGAATGTAACCTCTGCAAAGAAGTGATCTTTGTTCCCTGAGGCATCCTAAACACTTATAACTATCTTTGAAATATAGTTGGCATTAGTAAATGTTTCTTAAATAATGAATGAATATTAATGCATTCAAGGCTTCAGTTGAAAAAAAAAAAAAAAGCCTGTTTAGTTCTGCTGAATTCAATGTTTCTCAAACTTACTTGATCTCAGATCCCATTTTAAAACAAAACAAAAGAAAGCCGTGATACTTAACATTCTTCCAAAATAGTACTCCATGATAGCCAGTTTGGGAGATGCTCATTTATAGCTGAGTCAGTGCTTCGCACATTCTCCTCACCAGCGTTTTGTGTCCAATCACCTCGAGGCAACCTTTGATGGCTGTTAAACTTTTATGTTCACCTTGAAATACTGGTTGGTAGCTGATAAAGAGTAAGTAAGATGTAAGAGGAGATTTCATGAAGCGGTCTTTGATCTGAAGGAATGAGGCACTAGAGTAGAAGTTGTCCACTTTACAGAACTCAGTGGAGCTATTTGGAGCACCTACATTCTTCAGAACCGTCTGTCAGCTCATATGCGTCCTCACTGTCACTTAATTATGTTAGGATGCCCTGGGGTCTTCCTCTGCATTGCAGGAGTGAATCATGATGAGAATCTGTCTGACCTCTTTATTGAATAATCTTTGCTGGACTATCTTTATCGATATAAACATTAAGGAAGTAATAAAAACAGTTTTTTATGATAAATTTTAAGTGGGAAGTCGTTTGCATAAAAATAAAACTAAGGCAACTGCTTAGACTAGAGAGAGTTGGCTTACAGAAAGTGTAAGGGTTTTAGTTCAATTACAAGAAGGCATCTGTCTCTGTGGATGCTGAGTTAGCTCTTTAACCTTATTCCTTTAGAGCTTTCCTTTGCAAGCGCAGTAAGCTTCTTAAGAAATAAAGCAGAAAAGCACATCTGTCAAAACTAGAAAGTGGTAACTCCCAGGAAACAAAATGAATCATAGGGTCACTGGAGAATTTTGTAATAGTTTAAGCTCTCCCTTACATAAATTGCCTCCTGTTCAATCTTCCTTCACTCTGATGATGCCGGCCAGCCAGTTTTTATTTCTTCGGCAGGGACATAAAGAGAAAATTGGAAAAGGATGGCTGTATCGCCAATATTTGGGTATGTAGCCACTATTTTGCCTACAAAGAGAAAACAAAACTGGATTGAGAACATCTGACAACAGCAACAAAAAATTCCAAGCTTCTAGAAATGTCCCAATGTGTCTGCAAGATGTCATCTAGGCAAGATATCTTGAGCTGCAAATTGTAGAGTCATAAAATCTTGATAGGGGAAGACTTCTGGAAATCATTTAGACTACACTTGATGCCTCTCCTGCTCTCTTTTATGCTGAGGAAGCTAGGACCAGAGAGGTTAAGGGATCAACTAATTTAGTTTTCTTATTTACAGTCATGTGCTGCGTCCACATATATGACTGTGGTCATCCAATAAGCTAAGGTTAATTTATTATTGAAGAAAGAAAAATCTTTTGCATCAATTTAGTGTATCCTAAGTGAACAGCCTGCAGTGGTGTACAGTAATGTCCTGGTCTTCCACGTTCACTCACCCAGAACAGCTTTCGGTCCTGTGAACTCCATTCATGGTAAGTGCCCTACACAGTTTATCTTTTCTATTTTGTCTGTTTATATATGTTTAGATACACAATACATACCATTGTGTGACCACTGCTTATAGTCTATGGTATAATAACGTGCTGTACAGGCTTGTAGCCAAGGAGCAACATCATATAGCACAGGCGTGTAGTAGGCTGGACCATATAGGCTTGTGTGAGTACACGCTACAATGTTTGCACCATGAGGATATCGCCTGACAACCTATTTCTCAGAGCTTGTCCCGTCATCACATTGTGCATAGCCCTGTTTCGTGTTGATGCATTGGAAATATAATCGGCCATGCCTAGAGCACCAGCCGGGGGCATTTGCCATCCCTCCCAAAAACCTGGCTCTCACTCGGAAATCCCGCTTCCTCTCGGGTTTCCAGGATGACAGGATAACCAGTAGATCATCGTTTTCTCATAACCAGTAGACCATCGCTCCTCCCACCACCCTGTTTCATTTTCTTACCACATCCTTCCTGACATACAGAACCCGCTGTGACAGGAGCGAGGACGCTTGTGTTTTGCAGGAAAGCGGATGGCACTTAGAGCAAAGCGCTCTTCATTACCGTGTAATAGCGCGAGGTCGCCACTAGATGGAAGCATAGGATACACATTCTCGCCCAAATTACACTGTTGCCTCGTATTTGCTTCCTTGCGTGGTTTTGGTAAATGCAAATTATTCAGCACTTGTAGTGAATATTTTTCACTTAACTATCGCCAGAATGAAATGAAAAAATTAATGATATAATACGAAATGATTCAGACAAAAACCCCACAAACCCCCTTATAGAGGAAAATGCAATTATTTACCTTGAGTAATTGATTAATGAGGTTTACTGGTTTCTCTCATTCAACACTAATTTACTTTTAAGATTTCAGTTTTTACCTACACCTAAGAACAGCATTTTGTGTGTGGGAAAGCTAAGAGACAGAGGTGAACATTGGAGAAAAATAAGTTTTCTGTGAGAGTGAAGTGCCTGTTGTATGTTTCAAAAGGACGGTAAATAAAGCAACTGGGCACATGCCTCTGGGACCGCATGTGGTACTTACTGAATGATTTTTTAAAAGTTTCGTAAACTTCCTGGACTTCAATTTTCTGTTCTGTATTCATTAAGCAGATGTATGTAGGTGACTTTTGAGATCCCTGAGGAAGCAATAAACACACTGGTTAAGAAGAGACCCTAGTGATAATCTTTATTGAGATCTTTGGTGTCACATTTCTGCCTTTATATTTGCTTTAAGACTGTGTGCCCTTACTTCTTGGGAAATTTTTATAATAATTGTTTTTAAATGTTTCTCAAATATTCCAACATCTGTAACCTCGCAATTGGCATCTGTTATGTATTGACTGCATTGTGCCCCTCTCTTCATTGATATATTGAATACTGAATCTATATTTGACTGTAATTGGAGCTGGGACATTTAAGGAGACTATGAACGTTAAATGATGTCAAAGGTTGTGAAGTGGAGGCAGGGCTAATCTGATAGGGCTGGTGCCCTTATAAAAACAGAAAGAGAGGCCAGGCGCTATGGCTCACGCCTGTAATCCCAGCACTTTGGGAGGCCGAGGTGGGAGGATCACGAGGTCAAGAGATCGAGACCACCCAGGCCAACATGGTGAAACCCTGTCTCTACTAAAAATACAAAAATTAGCTGGGCGTGGTGGTGGGTGCCTGTAGTCCCAGCTAGTCGGGAGGCTGAGGCAGGAGAATTGCCTGAACCCAGGAGGCAGAGGTTGAAGTGAGCCGAGGTCTTGCCACTGCATTCCAGCCTGGTGCCCGGCAGCGGAGCAAGACTCTGTCTCAAGCAAACAAACAAACAAACAAAACAAAACAAACAAACAAACAAACAAAAACCAGAAAGAGAAACCACAGTTCTCTTTTCGTGTGTAGCTGGAAGAGAGGCCATGTGAGGACACAATGAGACGGCGGCCACCTGCAGGTCGAGGAGAGAGGCTTCACCAGGAACCAACTCTGCTGGCACCTTGACCTTAGACTTCTGGTCTCTAGAATTGTGGGAATAAATGTCTGTGGTATAAGTCTCCCAGTCTGTGTTATCTTGTTATGATATCTGAGCAGACCAATACAACGCCTATTAATTGTCTTTTCTTATATGAGTTGAAATTTTCTTGTTCTTCATATGCCAAATAATTTTAGGTTGTATCCTGGTCATTTTGAATATTGTGATAGAAGAGGCTGGGTCTTGCTGAAATCCTATGGAGAATGTTATCTTTTTTTCGGCAAGCAATTAACCTGATTAATTCAGGTGACACATTCTGATCTACTTCCTGTGGGCTGTGGTTCAATATCAGTTCAATCTTTAAAGGCTTTGCAATTCTATTCAGATCTATCTTACTTAGTGCCACCCAGTGGGCATTGTGGCATCTGGGTGATGGTTTGTCTTTTAATTCAGTTCTGAATGTTTAAGATCCGATCCATGCACACGAAGATTGGAGGTGAGCCAGGAGATCGTCGGCCACTTAATGGGGTTGCTTTCCCAACCTCCTTCCTCTCTGAGATCTCCCTCTTATTTCCCAATTTCCTGGACACCTTTTTTCTTTCCTGTGGCCAGAAAACTGGGCCTTTTATTATTTTATGTGCACCTGCATTTGGAGTCAAGTGGCTAGAAGTAACAAGTGTTATCATCTTTTATGATGATAACATAAAAATCATACTCATTTAGTATTGTCTAAAGTTAAACTTCGTGCAGTGATACACTAAGGGCTGCATTGTGGAACTGATCTCTCTTACGTGGGAGCTATAAGGAGGATTCATTATTTATGGGAAATTTAAAAAGAATAATAAAATTGATCAAAAGTAGTCCTGACTTTTATCATCAATTTCCAGCAATTAAAAAATCAGTAATAAAATACTCTTCCCTAAAAAAGTATTTTGTTAGTTTAAGTTTCAAAAAATTGCTAAACTTCCTATTGTTACTCATATGTATTGTGTTTCAAATTTGAATATTTTATTGCATAAACATTAGGAAACATTACACTCAATTTAGAAGTTTATTAACAGAACTCCCAGCTTTACATTTTCTCTAGTTTCATGGGAATTCAGCTATATGAACTCCTTTTAAGAGTAAATCTGTAACAGTTTAGAATTATTTTGGCTGCATTTTTGTGTCTCCAAAACCTTTGGTATTCAATATTCCTATATTTAGGCATTAGAATAAAAATAATAGAGGTAAATGGAATTCGAGTTACCTTCATTTTGTCATTGTATAGGATGACTTGAAATGCTATTTGCATTTAAGATTTACAATAGCCAACTAGAATGCAAATTACAAGGTGTAGTGTTTTTGTTTTGAAAGTGTACATTTTAGTTCTTCAGTCAACTACAAGTAAAACTATTAATGAACCTAGTTATGGTGTCTATTATATGTCAACATATAAAGAAGATACATTTTGGAAAAACCATTGACAAATTTGCAAAAGTGAGACATGAAAACAGAAATTAATATTAATCACTGTGACAGATCAAAATATCAATGTACTAGTTTTCTTTTTAAAATATAAATGTAATTAAAGGAATTAATCTGTTGCTTTTTCATGTTTATACTATAATTAAAAAAAAAAATTTTACTGGCCTAATATGAAGTCCAAAAATGAAAATTTTCATTGTTTGCATTCTTTTCCTGATCATTTGTTTTGTTAAATTTTGTGATTGTTACTGAGAATATTTTTGAATTATAGAGGAGATGTTAAGAAATTATCCACTACATCTGTCAAATAAGCTAGTTATGCTACTGACTCTGTTTTCCCCATGAAATAGCAATTGCTGTCTATTAGGAAAAAAAAAAACAGGGAAATGAGGCATATGTCCACTGAAAGACAAATTTATACTTGTGTTATTCAAAATAACCAAATACTGGAAACAACCTAAATGCCCATCATCAGGAGAATAGATAAACTGCAGAATTTTCACAAAATGGACTACTACATGGTAGTAAATTCATTAAACTCATGGTACAAAATGACATGGATAAATCTCAGAAACGTTATGCAGAGTCTAATAAGCCAGCCACGAGCACTTACTATAAAGTTTCATTTATAAAAACAGGCTGTAATCCCAGCACTTTGGGAGGCAGAGGCAGGCAGATCACGCGGTCGAGAGATCGAGACCACCCTGGCCAACATGGTGAAACCCCGTCTCTACAAAAAAATACAAAAATTAGCTGGGCATGGTGGAGCACGCCTGTAGTCTCAAGCTACTCGGGAGGCTGAGGCAGGAGAATTGCTTGAACCCAGGCGGCGGAGGATGCAGTGAGTCGAGATTGTGCCACTGCACTCCAGCCTGGCACCTGGTGACAGAGGAAGACTCTGTCTCAAAAAACAACAACAACAACAACAAAAAAAAAAAAAACAAAAAAAGACCAAGCAACACTGCTGTGACAAAATAATCTACATTTACAAATGCTTTTCTATAAAATAGCTTGATTTACTCTTGGTCAACATTATCCTCTCATGAGTATATTCAGCTCAGAGCATTTTTAAAGTTTTTTTATTTTTAAAATTTTTTTCAGAGCATTTTTTTTTCTTCCAGATATAGCTAAAAATAAAAAAGCCAAAGAATGAATCTGGTTTCCATGGGCCTCTGAGTAGATGCATAGCTACATGATTCCTCTTATAGAGCAGGCTGATCCACCCATTTGCCCCCTAAGACATATTCCTTAAAATATGCTTACGATCATCCCATATAAATTTTGCTTTCTTAATCTATGCATTCTGCAGTCCACAGTAGTTTGCGCTTATATAAACTTCTACTTTCCTTCTCTCCTGCTTCTTCTCTTCTCTCTCCCCTCCTTCCTCCTTAATTTCTCAAATATTCATCATTTGTATTTCAGGACTTTTTGACCATTCAGATGAGCATTGCTTTATTCTTGTATTATTCAAGTTGTTTTTCTTGGTCCTCACGTTCATGTTTGTCTTCTTCAAGGCATTCCAGAAATGCACGCTATACCTTGCACAACTCTAAATTTATCTGAAAGTTTTTCAGACTCTTCTGATGCCTAGGACTTCACATCCTGTGTGTCCCCCAGAGACTTCAAATTCTAGAACACTGATTAAGATCTGAAATGAGGATTGACTTCTATTTATTCAGGACATGAGTAAACATTTTTCCAGTAATTGATGTATTTATATCTTTGGATTACTAAGAATTATATAATTGCCTAGCTTATTAGAAAATCCAATAAAAAGACATAACATAATTTAGTTGACTTGATAAAATGATAGCTTCCTTTCCTTCTCCTTTCCTCCCATTTATTGAGTATAATGTTTCATTGACAGGAACAACTTGATACATTGTTCCAACTAGGTCTTACTATCTAGCAAGACATCAACATTTAGAGCTTAAAAGACAATTTACTTTGGTATCTCATGTTTCTTAGCCGGGTAACATGCTGCTGAAGTCAGGCTTTTCCTGTAGCTACAGTCATCTTAGGGGGCTCCTGGGCTGGAGGTCAAGATGGCTTATCATATGGCTGGCAGTTCAAGGTAGCTATTGTCTGGTAGCTCAACTCGGGGTTAGAGTGCCTATATATTACCTCTTCATGTATCCTGAGTTTCTCAAAGTATGAAAGTTTGATTCTAAGTGTTAGCATCAAAAGACTTAAGCAGAAGTGGAAAGCTTAATTGTGGAAGTCCCACCAAATACGTTTTGCTGCATTCCATTGGTAAAGCAAGTCATTAAGCTCAGACTAAATTTAAATGGATGAGATTTAAACTTCCCCTTTGAATGGAGGAGTGACAAGGCCACACTGCTGGGGAGCACATAAGATAGAACATATCGTCTCAGTCATATCTGGAAAATAAAATCTCTCATGCCTATTATTTTTAAAAATGAAGACTCAGGCTGGGCATGGTGGCTCATGCCTGTAATCCCAGAACTTTGGGAGGCTGAGGCAGGCAGATCATGAGGTCAAGACATTGAGACCATCCTGGCCAACATGGTGAAAATCTGTCCCTACTAAAAATACAAAAATTAGCTGGGCATGGTAGTGCACACCTGTAATCCCAGCTACTTGGGAGGCTGAGGCAGGAGAAGCGCTTGAACCCAGCAGGTGGAGGTTGCAGTGAGCCAAGATCGCACCACCGCGCTCCAGCCTAGAGACAGAGCAAGACTTCATCTCAAACAAGAAGAAGATGAAGGCCCAGTGAATTACTTTATGACTGTTTAACAAGGCTATTACTTTTCCTAGTAATTACCAGTGATGGTGAGTTGAATCAGTATGAAACCACGGAGCCTGCCACAGGGCCTGGCATACTGTTGGTGCTTGAATAAACAAATGCTCAATAAAGGAAGCATATGGTCTTGGTTGTTTTAAATGCATTGATGTAAGATTTATGCATATCATAACCTTAGAGTGGGTAGAGAATGTATTTATTTACCAGACACTTAAGTAACCCTTACTGTATGTCAGGCGCTTGCGAAGAGTTACCGTGTGCACTGGGTGCCAATCTGTCAGTCTGGTGAGGCAGAACACCCAAATACACTGATTTATGACTTGCAGATAGTTATAAAGGAGCCACTGAAGACTCGGATTCACGAGGAGCCAGCCTCCCGAGGCTCAGGAAAGCTTCCCAGGCTGGGTGGAGTACTGTCTGTGCATGCCCCACCCCACATGCATCACAGCTGACAGGCCCTAGAAAGAAGCCTGCCCTGGGTTTGGTATCCTGGGGGATTATATGCATTGCTGGGACAAAGCCTTGAAGGCTGCCCTGTGTCTAGGAGGGACTGGAACAGGCCCAGGTTGTTCCAGCGGGTTCCTTCTTATTTCAGGATGAGGCTTTCCCAGCACTGCAACAGTTATTTGTGAGATCTACGAGCAAGAAAAGGGAGAGAACTAGTTGGTTCAAGGCCACCTGGAGAACTATCTGGCAGTATTTGTACCACTTTAAAATATTATCTCATTTAATCGAACATAAAGCAGTGGGGTAGCTACTACTCCTATCCCGATTTTGCATGTAGACAACGAAAGCAAACACACACCAAGTCACACAGGGAGGAAGTGGTAGCGTTTATTTTCAGGCAGTCATAGCAGAAAGCATGTTTTACTCAGTACCCTATGATGCCTCTATGTGCTTATTATGTCCTATGTGATGGGGAGGAAACCAGACAGGAGAGGAAAACAAAATGTGGATGAGGACAATGTCATGTGTGCGTGAGAGGAAAAGAGAAGGGGAAGACAGGGCAACGCTGTATGCTGAAGAGGTGATGGAAGCAGGTGGTACTAGCCACGTTCTTCCTCTGCTTCCTCTCATCCACTGTGTTCCATGGGGCTAAGAGAGCGGAAGGAAGCCCGTGGCCCTGTTTCTTGCTTTCCTTCTCTTTTCCCAGAAAAGTTCAGGGGCTAGTTTTTAATAAGATCCTGTGAGCTCTTTGCAGATATTTTCATTTCTCGTGGGTTTCTATTTTAGATGAAACACGGTTTGAATTCCACCTAATAGCTATATAACTCATGAGAACTAGAGAATTTCAGATGCTTCTCAGTCCAATTTATTGCATATTATACAACTGAAACATTTCTTGATTGGTTAGATCCTGTTTAATAATAACACAATTAATAAATAAATGTCACAATTCGGGTCTTGCATGTCTTCTTCTTCCTTATACAGAGAGGTTCTCACTCTTAATTATCACTCTACCCCAAACAAATTAGAATCTCTAAGAATGGGTCCCAGGATTTGGTGGTTTTATAAAACCTCCAAAAGTAGCCAGTAATGATAACTGCCATAGACAGTCACCAGGTGAAACTCGGCAAGCCTCTGAAAAGATTAGATTACTATTGAGCAGGGACCTTCTCTGCAAATGGATTATAATAATTAGCCTGTAAAATGATAAATTCATGGATAGTTTATAGAATTTTCTATGAAGCCTTTTATCTGTATTTCCTCATATGTTTGATGAGGCAAAGAACTAATGATGTGTAAATAGAATGCAACTTCTCTTTAAAGCAGTGGTGCTCAACCCTGCTGGCATGTTGCAATTGCTTTGGGTACTTTAAAAATAAAGATTCTTGGCCGGGCGCGGTGGTTCACGCTTGTAATCCCAGCACTTTGGGAGGCTGAGGTGGGTGGATCACGAGGTCAAGAGATCGAGACCATCCTGGCCAACATGGTAAAACCCCATCTCTACTAAAAATACAAAAACATTAGCTGGGCATGGTGACACGGTCCTGTAGTGCCAACTACTCAGGAGGCTGAGGCAGGAGAACTGCTTGAACCTGGGAGGCGGAGGTTGCAGTGAGCCGAGATTGCACCACTGCACTCCAGCCTGGCACCCTATGATGGAGTGAGACTCTGTCTCAAAAAAAAAAAAAAAAAAAAATTCTTGGCACAACCACAGACCAGTTAAATCAACTCTCAGGATATGGGACCCGGCTGTTGATATACGTTCAACTTCCCACGTAATGTCAATGTGCAGACCTGGTTGAAAACTGCTGATTGAAGGGAAAAGTAGAACCTTTAGATGACTCAATTCTTGTATTGTTTTTGGAAGGGCAACACAACTAACAGTAGTGGATATAAACCTGGCGTATGCTGTTGTAAAGATGGTATCTCTGAAGATGAATTCTTGAAAAGCTGTAGAGAACCAGTTTCTTTCAAATAGTCATCAGTCAGTCTCGGGAGACTGCTATGCACATGTACACAGTTTGCAAAAAGCAAACTATAATTCTTTTCTAATAAATATTTATCTAGCCTCCTTAGAGTCCTATGCTGCAGCAGGTATTTTATTCATGTTGGATGATTTTTCCATTTTTATCTATGTCATAATATAATATAATCAAACCACTGAATATCAGTTGAGCTCTTACAAGGTGTCTGCTGGTTGCCTCACTTATATGCTTGGAGTAAATAGCCTCAAGGTAGCATTTACAACTGGTAATGTAAGCAGTAGAGAAGCCAGTGATGTGAAAATTTTTCACTTGAGGTTGTCATTTTCAAACCTTAGTGTGCGTGAACCTCAGGGTATTAGATTGAGCAGATCATCCATAGGCCCCAGGTTCTGCATTATTCACAAGCATCCCAGGTGATACTGATGCAGATGGGCTTTGGACCACATTTTGAGAGCCAAAGCCATAGAAATTGTTCATACACAATGAGAACACATGGACACGGGGAGCATAACATCACACACTGGGGCCTGTCGGGGGTGAGGGGCAAGGGGAAGGAGAGCATTAGGACAAATACCTAATGCACGTGGGGCTTAAAACCTCAATGGTGAGTTGGCAGGTGCAGCAAACTACCATGACGGCACATACCATAGATACCTATGTAACAAACCTGCATGTTTTGCACGTGTATCCCAGAACTTAAAGTAAAATTTTTTAAAAAAGAAGTTGTTCATGAATTTATCATCATTGCTTTAGATTCTGAATTATTCTTTCTTCTTAATAAGAAAGCCCTACTCATATTTAAATATTACTTTAAGGTTTTTAAATGGTGTTCATCTGAATGATTTTTTTCCTTTCAACAGCTTTGGGAAGATGGAAGGGAACTAGTGTTTCTTTCCTTTACAAGGGAGGCAGCCTAGAGAAGTAGAAAACATGCAAGACTTCAAACCCAAAGGCTTGTTATTTTTCCTAAGTTTCAACTGAAGCTAAAAGAGACCACAACAGACTCCAGCAAAACTATGAGTGCTAAAGAAAAAAAGTGAGTGTTTGATTCTAATTTAACTGGAGACTGCTTTAATTTCTTCTGTTTACAATGCGGATAATAAGAAGCACTCATCTACATGTTCAGGTAATCAAGTGATTCAATACATGTGAAAGTATATGTTGTACACATTACAGAGTTTACTTCCAAATCACTGTACAAATATAAGTTTATATATTTATGAGCAAGTTAATCGATGAGTTTCCCAAAGTTACATAACCAACAAATGTTCGAGCCAATGGGGGAATCGCTGTTATAAACTGCATCATCACAGATTGTCGATGTGACCACTTTGGAATTATTTTCATTATATCATGGTAATGTGAGAAATGTCAGGAGCTCCAATATGTTAAGAAACTAAGATATATTATATGCACAAGTGTTGTTGAAAGTTAAATGTAAAAATGGAATAAAATAGATTACAATAATTTTTAATCAAGAAATATATTTTTAATGGCCATACTGCTAAAGTAATTTACAGATTCAATGCTATCCCCATCAAGCTACCAATGACCTTCTTCACAGAACTGGAGAAAACCACCTTAAACTTCATATGGAACCAAAAGAGAGCCCACATAGCCAAGTCAATTCTAAGCAAAAAGAACAAAGCTGGAGGCATCACACTACCAGACTTCAAACTATACTACAAGGCTACAGTAATCAAAACAGCATGGTACTGGTACTAAACCAGAGATATAGACCAATGGAACAGAACAGAGGCCTTGGAGGCAACACCACACATCTACAACCATCTGATCTTTGACAAACCTGACAAAAACAAGCAATGGGGAAAGGATTCCCTGTTTAATAAATGGTTTTGGGAAAACTGGCTAGCCATGTGCAAAAAGCAGAAACTGGAACCCTTTCTGACACCTTACACTAAAATTAACTCCAGATGGATTAAAGACTTAAACATAAGACCTAACACCATAAAAAACCTAGAAGAAAATCTAGGCAAAACCATTCAGGACATAGGCATAGGCAAGGACTTCATGACCAAAACATCAAAAACATCTGGAACAAAAGCCAAAATAGACAAATGGAACCTAATTAAACTCCATATTTTCTGCACAGCAAAAGAAACAGTCATTAGAGTGAATCAGCAATCAACAGAATGGGAAAAAATTTTTGCAGTTTACCCATCTGACAAAGGGCTGATATCCAGAATCTACAAAGAACTAAAACAGATTTACAAGAAAAAAAAAACCAAAAAACAAAAAACAAGCCCATTCAAAAGTGGGCAAAGGATATGAACAGACACTTTACAAAAGAAGACATACATGAGGCCAACAAACATATGAAAAAATGCTCATCATCACTGGTCATTAGAGAAATGCAAATCAAAACTACATTGAGATACCATCTCATGCCAGTTAGAATGGCAATCATTAAAAAATCTGGAGACCACAGATGCTGGAGAGGATGTGGAGAAATAGGAACACTTTTACACTGTTGGTGGGAGTGTAAATTGGTTCAACCATTGTGGAAGACAGCGTGGCGATTCCTCAAGGACCCAGAAATAGAAATTCCATTTGACCCAGCAATCCCATTACTGGGTGTATATCAAAAGGATTATAAATCATTCTACTATAAGGACACATGCACACGAATGTTCATTGCAGCACTGTTTACAATAGCAAAGACCTGGAACCAACCCAAATGCCCATCAATGATAGACTGGACAGTGAAAATGTGGCATATATACACCATGGAATATTATACAGCCATCAAAAACGATGAGTTTGTGTCATTTGTAGGGACATGGATGAACCTGGAAACCATCATTCTCAGCAAACTGACACAAGAACAGAAAATCCAACACTGCATGTTCTTACTCATAGGTGGGTGTTGAACAATGAGAACACATGGACACAGGGAAGGGAGCATCACACACTGGGGTCTGTCAGGAGGAAGTAGGGGAGAGACAGCAGTGGTGGCGGGGAGTTGGAAAGAGATAGCATGGGGAGAAATGCCAGATATAGGTGATGGGGAGGAAGGCAGCAAATCACACTGCCGTGTGTGTACCTATGCAACAATCTTGCATGTTCTTCACATGTACCCCAAAACCTAAAATGCAATAAAAAAATGGAAGTAACCAAAACGTCCCTCAGTAAGTGAATGGCTAAACAAACTGTGTTTATCTGTACAAGAGAATATGATTCAGTGATAAAAAGACATGAGCTATCGAGCCATGAGAAGACATGGAGGAACTTTAAATCCATAATGCTAGGAAGAAACTAGTCTAAAGACTCTACACACTGTTTGATTCCAACACTAGGACATTCCAGGAGAGTCAAAATGGTAGAGACTGTGAAATGATCAGTGATTGCTAAGCGTGGAGGAGGGATGAATTGGTTGAACACAAGGAGGTTTTCAGCAGTGAAACTCTTCTGTGAGATACTGTACTGAGGATTCAGGACATTAGGTAATTGTCAAAACCCATAGAACTGTAAAACTCAAAGAATGAACCCTAATGTAAACTATGGAGTTTAGTTAATAATATCATATCAATATTGATTAACCAATTGTAAACATGTATCACACTAACGCAAGATACCAATGAGAGAGGAAATTGTGTGCTAAGGGACAAGAGAGAGTAGGGGAATTCCCTGTACTATCAGCTCAATTTATCTGTAAACCTAGAATTATTCTAAAAAATAATGTCTATTACATTAAAGTTAGGATGCAACAGCCCCAAATCAAAGTGTTGGTGGCATCCTGTTACTGTGTGGTTAATACTGGGCACTGAGGTGCACCAACCTGGAGTCAGAACAGTCGGAGACATCAATGCCAGTGCCTTCCATCTCTGGCTCTGTGGGGGTCCCTGGAATCCAGAGAGCAGATCAGTTAGCTTGAGACAGCCTCAGTGCTCCAGATAGTGCAGGCTTCTGGTAGGACAGGGAGAAATCATCTCAGGGCAGTAATATGGCCGATATGTTTTATTTTGGACATGGGTGAATCTTGAAGTCTAAAAAGTACTTAACTTAGAAGACAGATACTCTCAGCTTATTATTTTAAGAACAAATTTAGAATCGTTGTTAAACTTACATCTTTATTTCCCTAGCTGGCCAGGACCTCATCAGTAGCTACTGATGTCACTAGTGTCCTCTGATCACCTTGGCAGTGTTCGCTGTTTTGACCCAACAGGAAACTGAGGTGTTGCTTGTACCTAAGATGCAGACACCTGGCAGAAGTCCAGGGTCACTGGTCCAGAGCAAGTCATGCAGCTGTTGATGACAACCAGAAGGGTGACCAGGCCATCCACTGAGGTCACCTCCATGCAGCATGAGCCACTTGCTCTAATGAAGCCACCATCACTACACTTCTCATAACTCGCTATTCACTAGACGGAGAGTTCTGGGAAAGCTGAGATCATATTCTACTCGTCTCTGTGTTCATGATTCCCAGCTTAGGGTGTGGCACTAAGGAAGGTCTCAGCAGTGTTCACTGATGATAGGACAAAACTGACTACCAATATCCAATCCAATCACTGACATTCCAATCTAAAATGCCCCACCAGGGATGCTATAATTTCTCCTAAGATGCAGCAGCAAGCCCCCTTCCTACACCTGTAGACCCCTGCTCTAGGGACCAGTCATGCGCCAGGGTCATCTTCTGTGGGACACTGGGGAGAAACGGGACTACTCTGAAGAATCCCTCTTATGGTTCCCCTTGTCATTAGGAGCAATGTCTTCACCTACACTCCCCTCCTCTGGGCTGCCATGACGCCCCACTTTCAGAGAACTACTGTATTTTCTTGAAATCATGTCTCTGTGTTCTTTCTCTCATGAGCTTGAGCTCCTTGGGGAAACATTACTATTTGAACCCCAAGTGCTTAACACAGTGCAGAAAAAATTAAACACCCAGTAAATACCCATATCCCATAGAGACCTTCCTCAACTGAAAGTGCAGAGGAATAGTGTAAGTATCACTGCTTCATATACTGGCAGGAAACAGTTACTCAGGCACCTGACCTACGGCAGAACTGTTTAAAAGAACAGACATCTCCAACCCTTGTCCAAGCACAGTTATTCCCTCTAACCCACACTGACCAGAAGAGCATCCACTGCTATGGCAGCCTGAAGGTTGAGGCTCCTGAATCTGGGGCGGGGGCTCATGGTCGCATCCTCCCCCTCTTGGAGTTGGTGCTGCCCTTCACTATAAACCAGCTGTGATCCACCCTTTGGTTCTCCCTGGCTGGGGTCAGGAGACTCCTCTGGAGTAAATTTCTCTCTCCAGTCCCCACTGCTCAGCTTGCCCTCCTCGAGTGGTTGAATGATGACGGGCCCATTGCCCATTTCCCCTGAGGCTTCTGGCCCAGTTTGTCCTTATTCTCCCCTTCTTTGTTTCTCACCTGTTCTAGCATTGACTTGTCCTTTGCAGGTTATTCTCTTTCCCAAAACCTGCTGATTTTCTTTCTTCTATCTGTTCCCTTGGTTCTCGGCTTCCAGGGTGTGGACTCAGCTCAGTCTCTGCAGGAGAAACACAGGGGCGAGAGTCAGGAGTCAGACCCAGAGACGTCAGAGGCAGGTTACAGGTCCAGGAAGTGTTAAAGACCATCTCAGTCTCTCAAGGACTCGGATAAAACTGAGCAGGAAGGGACCTCAGAGAGGTACAATAAGCCCCTACTTTACTGATGAGAAAACTCAAGTCCAGAAAGACTAAGACTCTCCCAGGCTCCCTCACCACGTGGTGGCAGCAGACACACCACGCAAGCCTGGGCCTCAGGCTCCCTGTGCAAAGCAGGTAACTCACCCTCCAGAAACTCACTGCTGCCTTTCAGAAAACTTTAGATCAAATACAGCAATTTCACGCTGCAAACAGAGAAAAAGGGCCTTTCCTTGGACAATTCTTTATCATGGTTCCATAGTCCTATTACTTATTCTCAGTCCATTGTCATTCATTGGCTTGTAGATTAGGGCAGGTAGAACATGAGAATTAAACAGTGCTTAAGACAACCCTGCTTTCCCAGTCTGGGCGTTCAGATCCTCCATTCTTCCTCAGGGAGTTTCCTCTGCTGTAACTGCTGGAGAGTCCAGGCCCTCACGTGGGTCATTTCTCCATGAAGGTCCCTGTTATTTTCTTACTCTCCTGGAGATAGAGAGGGCAGAGAATGGTTCTGGGACTCCATAGTCTTAGGTTTTCTCCTAAGCCAGCCAGGGCAGCTGAAAGCAATCATGCCTGAGTGAGGTCAGTTAGTGAAGATGGTCCCAGAGGAGCACGGGCTCACAAGGACAGTCCCTGATGGAGATGGTCAGGACTGTGACTTGGGCAATATCTGACCAATTCTGCTGGGGATGACAGACCCAGAATTAAGCAGAGGATGCTGCCATGAGGAGAAAGGAGGAGAACCAAAGGAGTGGGTCAAAAAATAAGATAAAAGACAATGGTTTCAAGAACTGCAGAGCAAAGATCCCAGAGGCAAAGTCCCACAGGATGGTGGGTTAGTCCCAGGCTGTGGGTCCTACTTAAGAACCTCCTGCTGGATTTTGCCCAGCTCCACTTCCATACTATTTGGGTCGGTGACTTCTTTCTCCCTTCCATGTTCCTTCTTTCTGAACTAGAATCACTGTAATTGTTATTCTGTGTCTGTCCCGCCATTCCACATTAGGAGCAGATAAGCAGTTTGTTCAGTTTCACAGGTCAATGGAGGTAAGGAAATTATGTCCAGGATCCGTACTTAATGGACACCCTCAGAAGCCTCATCCACACCTGGTGTGGTTGTTTTAGATGAGATTTTAAACTTTGGATCTGATGTGGTTTATGTGACATTTTTCACGTTGAACTAATGCTTTAATGACATTAAATTTGGAAACTTTAGGGGAGAGGGTGAACGTATTTTGCAGATGGGGGAATGTGAGTGTCCAACTGTGGTGGATGGAATTTCTGAAATGGTCCCCAAACATGCCATACCCTTGTCTCTGAAGCCTGTTAAGGGGATGAGACATGATTCCTGTGATTATGTTGTTATATGACAGTTACGTGACTTGAAGATGGTGAGGTTACCTGCATAAACTGGATCAAATCGCATCACTCCGTAGCTGACAGAGTTTTCTGTGGCTGGTTGGAGAAGATGAAGTCAGAGAAGGGAGGAGCCTGAGAAGGACTCCGTGAGTTGTGACTGGTGGAAAGATGGAAAAGACAGCTAAGGAGGAAAGCGGGTGGCCTCTGAAGTCAGAGTGTCTCCTGGCTGACAGCCAGCACAGAAAAAGGGCCCTCAGTCCCCCACAAACAAGAATAGAAACTTTTCCCAATATCTGCAGTGAACTTGGAATAAAAGCTGGAGCTCTAGAGAAAATGTATACTCAGGCCATTCCTGGATTTTAGCCTGACAAGACCTTGATCAGAAAACTCAGCAAGGAAGGAAAAGAAGGAAGGAAGGGAGGGATGGGGGAGCAGACAAACTTACATGAAGATGAGAAGATCCAGGGGAACTTACACCACCAATATTTTCCATTAATAGGAACACGCTAACTAGTTAAGAGACAGAGACGCGCTACTATAAAATCATATACTGTTTCCATGGTGTATGTTCCCTTCTGCTTCTCTGAAACAATTTCTGTCTCTGGCCTGCTGTCGTTAGAGACCCTGGGTCTTCCCTTTGGACAAGTTCTGGCACGGGACCCATAGGAATGAGATGGGACAGTGAACCCTAGAACACCAGCTCACAACCTTCCCTGCTGCTCCTTGTCCACTCCAGAAGCTACCCAGCTGCAGGTGGAGGTCTTAGCCCCTGGGTCTGACATCGTGCCTTTGCCTTTCTCACTGGGCCTCTATCCTTGCACTGGTTCCTACTCCCCCAGCACCTGGCAGGTGACCACATGAGAAGGACACAAACAGGCCACACTGCTTTCTTTCTCCCCCTCTCGATGCCTACAGTGGTGGGTTCCATGGGGCAGTGACCTGACATTTACTCATTGTGGTCCCCCTAGCCCGGAGCAGGGCCTTGCACCTAATAGCCACCCTGTGAATGCTCAGTGAAAGAAGGCGTCCACCACAAGGTCCTGAGGAACAAAGAATTCCACGGTGGCCCATCAATTTTAAGTCCTACACGATTCTAGAATGGGAGATTGAAAGGCCTTCAAGAGTGGCCACTCTCTGAAACCATTATACTGGCAGCTGAGCCATGTTTCCCCATCCTGGGCACATCTAGAGGGCACCGCCTAAATCCAGACACATCTCCCCACCCAGGACAGTGCAGAGGCCTTAGCCTGGGAAATGTGGGTGGATGGGAGAACCAAGAAAGCTGAAGAGGTGAAAGCAGGTGAAAGGGAACAGCAAGGTGGAAACAGAGAGAGAAATGGGGACGGAGACTCGAGGGTGAGAGGGGAAGAGAGAGGAATGGGACGCAGATCCAGCCACTGAGGAAAAGGCCTGAAGAGAACACTGTCCTCTCCTGAAGTCAAATAACTTCCACCTGACCACGCACTGCAGCTTGTGGGTGGCTCACGCGGGTCATGCTGCAATGTTTAAGGCCTATGGCATCTTCCCTTCTCATCTGAGTCATAATAGAGAGAGGACTCTCTGACCCCATCCAGCTGGCAGTGCCTTGTGATTTTTACCTGTTGGATCTGGCAGCTCTTCATGTCAGCCCATACCACGTGAGGCTGCTCTTGGTGCACCGAATGGGGAAGATTCCACATCAGTGCCTCGGAGAGTCCACTGGAAGCCCTGGACAGCAGGAGTCGGTGGTGCCCCAGCATGGACGCCAAGAGCACACAGCACCGAAGCTCCAGACACCCTCAGGAGGACAGTAAAGGACAATGTGCTGGTGAGAGCCTGGGTCAGCGGGAACCTCCACCCAGGTCTGAACATGATTTGCCTTCACACGGGCTATGACATTAAAGGGAGAAATCAAGGTTAACTTTGAGATTTGAGGCTTGGGCAACTTGAAGGATGAAACTGTCATTTGTTGAGACTCGGAAGACTGAGAAAGGAATGGACTGAAAGGTGGCGGGGAACTAGAGTTGGTTGGGTTTCTGTCATATGCAATCAACCGTCCCGATCAGCCTGGGCAACACAGTAAAACCCTGTCTCTGAAAATAAGAAATTAGCCAAGCATGGTGGTGCACATGTGCAGTCTCAGCTACTCGGGAGACTGAGGCAGGAGGATTCCTTGAGCATTGAGTTAGAGGTTACGTGAGCTATGATGGCACCACTGCACTCCAGCCTGCGGGAGGGGAAAAAAAAAGGTCCTGATTAAATACTTGGTAGCCAGAGAAGTTTTCACAAAGTAAGTACTATTTCAGGCAGATCTCAGTGAACAGGAATTCCATTCTTTCTGTAGGAAATTAAGAGAGTGTGAGTGTGGTTAGTTAATGCTGACTGAGCTATCTTTGGAATCTCATCTACTGGTCTATCTGGTCTATTTCTATATGTATATTCTGTCTGCCGTCTCACTGAGCTTTGGTAGTTTATGCTGCAGTAACAAAAGCCCCCAAATCTTAGCAGCTACAGATACATAGGTTTATTTTCACTGACATTTCCTTTTACGGCAGGTTGACTGTGGCTCTGCTCTATACAAGCTAGTTTATTTGTTAAATGGTGAACGCTGTGATACTTGGAGAATTTTTTAATGTGGTTCATTCATTCAACAACTATTTATTCAATATCTATTTCATACCAGGCAAAGTCAAGTACTGAGAAGACAGTAGTAAATAAGAGACAAGATCTCTAATTTCCAAGAGCTTATATTAAAATGAAATTAAACATGTACAAAATAATTATATTAATAATGAATATTATATTCATAAATAACAGACTTAGTAAATATTCTAAATTAGAAAAATATAAAATTATTAAAACTAAAATGGCCAGGAGTGATGGCTCACGCCTGTAATACCAACACTTTGGGATGACAAGGAGGGAGGATCATTTGAGCCCAGGAGTTTGAAATCAGTCTGGGCACCATGGGAAGACCCTGTATGCAAAAGATACAAAATTAGCCAGGCATGGTGGTGCATGCCTGTAGTCCCAGCTACTAAGAAGGCTGAGGTGGGAGGCTGCTTGAGTCTGAGAGGTCAAAGCTGCAGTGAGTCATGATCACACCACTGCACCACTGCACTCCAGCCTGGGCAATAGAGCGAGACCCTGTCTCAAGAAAAAAAAAAAAAAAAAAAAAAAAGAGGAAGAAACAATTTAATCGATATATTCCTGAAAATATCATGTAGAATCCTATTGTCTACATTACATCACATCAGCCCTTTACTTTAAGTGGCTTAACACTTAGTTAGATATGATCCATAAAATTTTCCTGGTAATTAAGTATACGTAAGAACAATTAAGTATTAAAGAGTTACTGCCTTGACAGGAAGATTGTAAAAATTTTTAAAGACAAATAAATAAATGAGAGAATAAAACCTGTAGCTCTGTGAGGCACAAATGACATCTAATTGAAGTCACAGTGAACATCTAGCAATCATTCTGAACACCATATAATTCACTTAATATGTTTCGCCTGAACTCCCAACATATCAGACTTACCAACACCTGTATGTAGCCAAGAAATTGACAATCATTTATAAATTAACCCCTATGACTGCACCTGCTCTACCCACTTAAAAAATTTCATGTATTTCTTTATTATTTGTTATTTTTTGTAGAGACAGGATCTCACTATGTTGCCCAGGTTGGTCCAGAAACAGACCCACACTGATTTCGTCAATCAGATGACCATGCAGCCATCCAATTGATGAAAAAAAGTGCTACACAGTGCAGAAGGACAAAGACAGTCTTTTCAATACATGGTGCTGGACCAAGCAGTCACATCCATGTAGTGAAAAGTGAATCATGGCTGGGTGCGGTGGCTCATGCCTGTAATCCCAGCACTGTGGGAGGCTGAGGTGGGCAGACTACTTGAGCCCACGAGTTTGAGATCAACCTGGGAAAACGGCGAATCCTCATCTCTACAAAAAAAAAAAAAAAAAAAAAAAAAAAAAAAAAAAAAAAAATTAGCCAGGCATGGTAGCACATGCCTATGGTCTCAGGTACTCAGGAGGCTGAGGTGGGAGGATCGCTTGAGCCAGGAGGTGGAGGCTGCAGTGAGCTGAGATTATGCCACCGTGCTCCAGCCTGGGCAATAAAGTCAGAGCCTTTATTTTAGTTTTTAGCATAAACTAAAATAAAGTTGCTATGAGGTTAACACAGAAAAGTGTGTTCATATTCTTAGGTTAGGCATTGATTAACAGGACAAAAAAAGCAGTCACCGTGAAGGAAAAGATTGATCAAGTATAATTTCTTTAAAATTAAGAAACTCAGGCTTAGTACACTGGCTCATGCCTGTAATCCCTACACTTTGGGAGGCTGAGGCAGGTGTATCACTTGATCCCAGGAATTCCAGATCAGCCTATGCAATGTGTCAAAACCCAATGTCTACTAAAAATACAAAAGAAAGAGCTGAACACAATGGTGCTCCCCTGTAGGTCCCAGCTACTTGGGGGCTGAGGCAGGAGGATCACCTGAGCCTTGGGAGGTCCAGGTTACACTGAGCTGTGATTGTGCCATTGCACTCCAGCCTGGACAACAGAGTGAGATCCAGGAACTCCTGGATTCAACTGATCTGCTCACCTTGGTCTCCGGAAGTGCTGGGATTACAGGTGTGATCCACCGCCCCTGGACCACCTGCAAGTTTAAAATTGTGAGCTTCTTCTGTAGACTTCAGTAACTTTTCCAAGATTTCTTTGACACAAAGTTCTCAGAAATCTTAAAGCTAGCATTTTAGAATAGAAAACATCAGCTTCTGGTTCACAGGTGAAATTTTACCAATAAAATTTAAAAACAAAAGAAAGCTACTAACGCGTATCAGCTCGGAACAAAGATTAAAAACTACAAGCAGATCACTTTTCTTTAACTGCGTCAAGCACTGGGAGTCAAAGAAAAGATAGCACTGCAAGAAAAGACTTCCTTTTGAAGGCAGTTTAGCAGCGAAAGATAGAAGGAAAGCGAGGAAGCCATTCCAAAAGTCTTGCTGAATTCTTCTGTGCGAGGATGCCAAATGAGATGATCTGAGAAGCTCCTAAGACAGACAGACAGACACAGGGAAACCACAGCAACTGTGCGGAGCGCAAACAACACCACCACAATCCAACCTATTGGAAATGCTGCGGTGAATTTGAGACTTGCCCCGCGAGTCCTGAAGCGATTCACTGACGGCTACAAACGCTCCCCTAGTGCATCCCGGACCTGGCACACGGGGCTTGCCCGCCACCAGCCTGGAGACAGCGCCAGGCGCGGAATCCTGCAGGCCAATAAAGACCCCTACTTCGCACATTTGGGGCTTGAGATCTCTCGCCCCTCAGGTCCCCAGAGGGGGTCAGTGTCCTCCACCAGATCTAGGCGGATGTGTCCCCAAAGGCTGCTCCATCCCTCCAAACCTGGGATGCCACAGGAAGACCCGTCCGCGAGTTTCTTCCTCAAAGCCCAGGAGAGCAGGGCTGCGGGCTGCAGGCGGCAGCGGCAGGCGAGGAATCCAACGCAGGGAACTTAAGGCCTAGGGGGGCCCGGGGAGCCCGCCCCGCGGGCACAGCAAAAGTTGTGGAGGCCCCCCGTGCGCACATCGACCCAGCTGTGCGCCGCGGGTCCCGGACTCACCGCCCTCTCAGCTTGGCGCGGCGCCCTCACCTCGGAAAGGCTGGGAGGACTTCCCCCTGAACCTTGATTTCCCAGTAAACCTTAGCTTTCAGTGCAGAACGGGCCGCCGCCTGCACACTCACCTCGGAAACGCTGGGTGGACGTCCGGGTAAACCTTAACTTAGAGCGCCGCCTATGCGCCGTCCACACCGCGGACTCCCGTCACAGCCCGCCGACCGGCTCACTGCGCCGCAGACGCCGCAGACACCGACCCCGCCGTGGACACTGCCGTGGACACCGCCGTCAGGCCACGGATGCCGTGGACGCCGCAGACACTAACCCCGCCGTGGACACCGCCGTCAGGCCACGGATGCCGTGGATGCCGCAGACACCGACCCAGCCGTGGACACCGCCGTCAGGCCACGGATGCCGTGGATGCCGCAGACACCGACCCCGCCGTGGACACCGCCGTCAGGCCACGGATGCCGTAGACGCCACCGACTCGCCGACCTCTCCGCAGACGCCCCGGACTTGCGACCTTGCCTTAGGCGCCGCAGATGACGGCACTCTCCTCGGAAACTCTGGGTGGACACACCGGTAAGACTTAATGTCCAGCGCCGACTGTGCCACAGGACGCCCCGGACACGACCGCCCTCAGACATCGCCGACCGCGCCGTGGGCTGTCGCCGCAGCCGCAAGAATTGCAGAAGAGCCAGCAGCTTTAGTGCCCCGAGGCTGAACTATACAATGAGATTTGAAGCCGGGAGCGAACATCCAGCCCCCTTAACCGTAGTCGGACTCACAAGGAGCAGTTGCTTCAGATGAGTTTACATGATTTCAGTGAAAACCAGGCTCATAGAAGTCTGAAATTTGTTACCATAATTTTAAGATATTAATCCACCTGTGTTAAGTACCTGCTATATGGAAAAAATTGAGAGTTGGGAATCCGGAGGATTTAAAATAAATGGAAAATGTAATTTGTGAATTAAGAGTCTTACTAACAAGCGTAAGAAGCAGTACACATAGCCCTGACTTAAGCAGTCTTTTGTGAAGTCTTTTTTTTTTTTTTTTTTTTGAGACGGAGTTTCGCTTTTGTTACCCAGGCTGGAGTGCAATGGCGCGATCTCGGCTCACCGCAACCTCCGCCTCCTGGGTTCAGGCAATTCTCCTGCCTCAGCCTCCTGAGTAGCTGGGATTACAGGCACACGCCACCATGCCCAGCTAATTTTTTGTATTTTTTTTTTTAAGTAGAGACGGGGTTTCACCGTGTTGACCAGGATGGTCTCGATCTCTTGACCTCGTGATCCACCCGCCTCGGCCTCCCAAAGTGTTGGGATTACAGGCGTGAGCCACCGCGCCCGGCTGTGAAGTCTTTTATGAAGACTTAATATTCAGAAAATAGTTATTAAGCACCTCTGTGAATCAAACACTTTTCTGGGTGTTGGGAAGGCCAAAGATTAGGCTACCGCTCTCGGTTTAATAGATGAAGGCAAACTGTACCGAAACCTAGAGTGATTTTGATAATAGAATAAAAGTTTGAAGGGAAAATGGAGCATTAAGAAGACACTGATCAGTTCTGCCGCCTACTCTAAGCTTCGGTCACATGCAATCCACTACATTTCACTGAATGTACAATGTTTTCACTGTATGCATAATGTGCATAATTTTTTTTCTCTGACTAGCATACCTTCCTCTCCCTTGTTCACCTGGGAAATCCTAGTGTGTTGATGAAGATTCCCTGTAAACGTATCTCCTCTGTGAGGTCTTTACTGACACCTGCAGGCTGAGTTAGCCGGTGCAGCCTGGGTTACCCTAGCAGGGCAGCCTGTGTTGCAGAGCAGTGAGTTCTGTTGTGTCTGTTGTGTGTTGCAGAATAGTTAACAATTTCTATGTCTGTTATCTCTGCTAAACTTGTTACTTTTGAGGAGAGTGATTTCATCTTGTTATTTTTTATTTTTTGTGATGGAGTCTCACTCTGTTGCCAGGCTGGAGTACAGTGGTGAAATTTCGGCTCACTGCAACCACCGCCTCCCAGTTTCAGGCGATTCTCCTGCCTCAGCCTCCCAAGTAGCTGGTATTACAAGCGGGCGCCACCATGCCCAGCTAATTTTTGTGTTTTTAGTAGAGACGGGTTTCACTGTGTTGGTCAAGCTGGTCTTGAGCACACCTGACCTCGTGACCCACATCCCCCACCCAAAAGTGCTGGGATTACAGCCCGAGCCACCGCCCAGCTGCATCTTGTTGTTTTTTGTCGGGAATGACTAACAAATTACTTGGCGATTTAGTTAATCTTGGATAAAGAAATAAAAGAAAATATTTTTGGGCTCAGAAATTTCAGGAGCTCCTATAGTTGGAGATAACTCAGGCAAAGCCCTTGAACAAGAAAAAGAAATGTTGTTTGAGAAACTTTGCCAGCGAATATATGATAAAGATGTTGTTCTGAAGGTATGTATCATCATTTTGCCTACTGCGTATGACAGAAATCTGTGTCTACTTAAATTTCCTCTTCGGGATTTGGTTTTCTATTCTGCCATCCTGTTGAATAAGAGTGATAAGAATAGTGAACCTGCCGGGCGCGGTGGCTCAAGCCTGTAATCCCAGCACTTTGGGAGGCCGAGGCGGGTGGATCACGAGGTCAAGAGATCAAGACCATCCTGGTCAACATGGTGAAACCCCGTCTCTACTAAAAATACAAAAATTAGCTGGGCATGGTGGCGCACGCCTGTAGTCCCAGCTACTCGGGAGGCTGAGGCAGGAGAATTGCTTGAACTCAGGAGAGGTTGCGGTGAGGAGAGCCCGCGCCACCCCCCCCCGGCGGGGAAAAAAAGAAACAACCCCCTACTACAAAAAAAAAAAAAAAAAAAAAAAAAAGAATAGTGAACCTTACAGAGCTCTAGGAGTCTTCCTTTCCTTCCGGTGGCCTATAGATGAAAAATTCTTTTGCTCTGGAAGAGAAAGAAAAAGAACCGCGCCAGCTTCGTCTTGCTGAGAGAGCGAGATCATGGCTTAGAGAGGCTGCCCTCCTCCAGTGAAGCTGCTATGCAGGTAAGAGCCAAACCTGTGTCTGACTTGGTGTTCCTCTCCCGCTTGTATTCTAAGCCTGAAGCAGGACCCTGTTCCATCATTTTCTGAAAACCGGGGCGTCTGCTTTATAAGCGGGGAGAAAACCAAAAATATGAGTCATTAGTTCCATCATTGCAGATTAGAAAGTGAGAGATTTTAGCATTTCTACTTTCTTTTGTAATATGAACTTTGTGAGGAGAGCCAGTGAATATTGATTTCTGTTCACATCTGATTTATTTCCAATTCTTGTTCATACATAAATACACATATTCTCTCTCATTTTCTCTCGCTCTCTCTTACTTTTACTGAAGCACTGCCAGGGTGCAACTATTATATTGTGTTTTCTCCACAAAGTCCATGAGGCACATACTATTGTCCGTGTTTTATAGAGGAGGTACTTACTTCTGAAGCTAAGTACCCTGTCCAAGCTAACATAGCTAATAAGTAGCAGATCCAGTAACCTAGGCAGTATGGCTCCTCTGTTTCCTTCACCATGTACCTTTGGGCAGTACAGAAATAGAAACGATCACTCTGATAGCAAATACAGTGTTTAGTTTTCCTTTCAGCTTATTGTTTTGTGCCTCCCTCTATAAGGTTACACTGGGAAGAAAATAAGTAAATGAACTGAGTGTCCATTTATCCACATCTAACATTAATTGTTACATGCCCTGAAAACATAGGATAAAGACTTATTTCAGAAAACAATATGTACGTAAGTGGCCACTAGAGATAGTTTTCTATATTGTTAGTATTCATTCCTGGGACATGTATTTAGAGACTTCTGTGCTCCGGGCCTGGCAAAACAAAAATGAATAAAACGCGACACTTATTTTCAAGAATCTCATGGCTCCTTCTTCTGTGATAGTCTTTTAAGTCCTGTGCTATTTACGAGAGGCGGTTCTTTCCTTCAGAAACTTACAGTGTCCCTTCTGTATTAGGATCTTAGTGCAACATTGCTCTGCAAACTTGGACCAGGGCGGAGCGAGGTAGTGGAGGAGCTGTACCAGCATCTACAGCAAAAGGAAAGGATGCTGCAGGACCTTCTGAGTGATCGAAACAAACAAGTGGTGGAACATGAAGGAGATTCAAGGCCTGCTTCAGTCTATGAACTCCAGGGAGCAGGAAAGCCAAGTAAGGACTCATGCCCTTAGCAGAAAAGTATCACATAGTGCATTTATAGTCTGCAAATTGGAAGCATTTGCAGACTATGGATGTGTGTCTGTTTATGTATTTGACAGTCAACTCTGTTAGTTTCTTTTCTTCAATTTATTTCCTAGACCACAGTTTTATTTATTTACTTATTTATTTAGAGATGGGGATCTCTCTTTGTGCAGGCTGGTCTTGAAGACCTGGGCTCAAGCAATCATCCTGCCTTAGCTTCCCAAAATGCTGGAATTATAGGTGTGAGCCACTGTGCCTGGCCTTAGACCACAGTTTTATATCGATCATCAAAGTATGAAAAATTGTTTTGAAAATTTTACATTTGGAAGGGTGCCTAAACAATACATGTATCCGTTAGCTTCATTACATACTTTTTTTTCCCCCTTAATTAATCATTTTGAGAGAAAGGAGTAGGTGTTGTGGAGTGTTTTGATTTTGATTCTAAATTATTAAGACTTGAGTGATAACTTTGTATTTTCAGCAAAGGTATGGGAAAACTTACACTCAACATGTTTGTTTACTTAGTTTTTGTTAAATCTGAGTTATCTTAGGAAAAAAGATTGCATTTTTCAAAGGTCATGATGAGAGAGTGAATAATCTCATTACAATATGGGGTATACTACTTTCACAGTATTTCAGAAGTATATTTTTTTGTTTTTGAGGTCGCATCTGCCTCTGTCACCCTGGCTGGAGTGCAGTGGTATGATCTCAGCTCACTGCAAGCTCTGCCTCCTGGGTTCAAGCGATTCTTCTACCTCAGCCTCCCAAGTAGCTGGGATTACAGGCATGTACCACCACGCTCAGCTAATTTTTGTGTTTTTAGTAGAGATGAGGTTTCACCATTTGGCCATGCTGGTTTCCAATTCCTGACCTCAAGTGATCCACCCACCTTGGCCTCCCAAAGTGCTGAGATTACAGGCCTGAGCCACCATGCCCTGGCCAGGAGTAAATTCTTAGCTTTTCCTCATTTCTATGTGTTTTCTCCTCAAATCTAAAGTCTCTTCGTTGACTTGTACTGCATTTCAGAGACCAGTAGCTCAGAATCCCCCTAGTCAGTTTTTAGAGGAAGAAAGACTCTTTCTTGCCTGTGTTATTTGACCCCATAATATTTTCTTATGTTTCCTTCTATTGCAAAGGGATTATACTCCACCGTTCTGATTGTAGCCCCACTGAAGTAAATACACATCTTGTTAGAAAAGTCCTGCTATGTGCTTCAGAAATTGTTTCTAAGATAGACCTAACAAAATTATTCTAAATTATTTAAGTCTGGCAAGAGGCTAGCATCTTTGAGTTTTCTTTTAAACGTGTTCGTGATTTGGAAGAATCAGTCTTTATTATACCTCAGAAAAAAACTTATGCCGTGCGGGTAATAGAATAATGAAGATGATGGAACTTCCAGGAGATTTTTCAACTCGAGAAGATTAATGGTTGTATTCTTCTAGATCTGCTTCTCTAATTTGACAGGCAAAAGAAACCACCTGAATGCTTTTTAAAGACATAGATTGTGGAGCTCAACTTCAGAGATAGAAATTAGGAGGTATAGATGGGACTGAAGAATTTGCATTTCTAACAAGTTTCCAGGTGATAGTGATGCTGCTGGCTCATGGACTGCATTGGAGGAGCACTGCCAAAAACTCTTAACTACTGCTAGAAAAAGAGTGCCAAGGCAGATGGGGCACAGTGTATATCTTGTACGTTATTATGTTTTTTCCCCACAGTTTTCACAGATACTTTTATTAAGGTACTTTCTTAATACACTGATACTTCTAAAATGGTTACATTGAAATCCCCCAAGAGCCCAAATTTTACTTACTGAAAAATGGAAGTTTTTTTCTCGTATTTCCCTTTGAAATCATGACAAGAGCTCTGCTTCTCACTTAAAACAGTACTTTTCCTCAGAGACAGTTGGTGTTATGATTCATCATCTTATACCCTCAGTGATTTTAATATCAATTTATTATTTCCAGATTTTCTGTTTAAATGCAGACTTTCTGTGCATTCATAGTTAACAGAAATTCTAGATCTTTCCATTATTGTGTCATCATCTATCTTAGAAAACTGGGATTTGAAATGAAACTGAATTTGGTGATTTTGAGATTGAGATTCCCCTGATCACATGGTCTGATAAAAATGTTTATGTGTGTAATTGACTCACTTTGTAAATATGTAGTGAGTGCCTATGATGTGCCAGACACAGTACTGGGTGCTTGAGATTCAGCACCAAGATGCCTTTAGGAAACTTGCATTTCATATAGGGGAAGCAGAGAGAGCTGTATATCAGATGCTGATAAGTACATTAAAAAAAAAATTAACACAGTAATGGATTTTGGGGATAGAGAAGAGATTGCTGGTTCTTTAAAGTTTTTTTCCCCCAGCTTTATTGAGGTATAATTGCAGATATTGTCTATATTCAAGGTGTGCAACATGATACTTTGATATACGTATACATTGTGAAATGATTCCCACGATCAAATTAACACATCCTTGACTACACATTTTATGCTTCAGTGTGAAGACACTGAAGATCTACTCTCTTAGCACATTTGAAGTAAATACCATAGAATGACTAACTCAAGTAAATAATGCAGTATTATTAACTAAAGTCACCATGCTATACATTGGATTCCCAACACATATTCATCTTGTACCTGAAAGCTTGTACCCTTTGGCCAGTGAGATAGCTGTTGCGGATAGGATGTGCAGGGAAGGCAAACCTGATAAGGTGTCATTTGGCAAAGACCTGAAGGGAGTGAACCACATAAGTGTTTGATGAGCAATCCAGTCCTAAGAAACAGCTGTCCAAGAATAAAGATGACTGTTATCTTAATTCCAGAATCTCAGCCTCATAGTTCTAGCAGAATCTATTTCAGATTCTCTTTCTCTTAATCTGTTACGAATGTGTTAAATTCCGTTTTTCCTCCAATGTTCTGCCTATGAGACTTTCTTTTTATTCACCTTAATTGTGTTTTTCCCTGTATACCGAAAGCAGGGAAACCATTTCCTAAGAACCCACTATTTTGTTTGTTTGTTTGCTTGATTTTACAAGTGGTTGACTTTGAAGAAATAATACCAGAACAAAAATTTTGTTTGACTAGAATTAATTTCTTTCTTTCTTTCTCTTCTTTCTTTCTTCCTTCTTCTTTCTTTCTTTCTTTCTTTCTTTCTTTCTTTCTTTCTTTCTTTC